AGAGAGAGAGAGAGAGAGAGAGAGAGAGAGAGAGAGGAAGCCATGCAAACACTTAACCATCTTTCAGCTTTGCCTAACTTTTTTTTCTTTTCTTTTATCTTCTTATTGTTGTCCCAAAATCTAAGACAAGGGTTGATAAATTAAATTTAATAGTGTGAAGGTTACATGCATTCTAATTGCAAAATAAACTAGAAAAATTGTGTTGCAATCAAAGGAAAATATCAGCAACATGTTATCAGAGTATAGCTGATATGCTTTGTAGGTAAGTGTTTATAATCGTATCTTATATATTTATTAAAGACGACGCTAGATAGCTAGTTCAAATTTAGTTTTATCCTCGTTACTTATCTTTTAACGAAAAAAAAAAACTCTTAAGAATCAAAGTAAAAGACTGATAATTTAAAATAGAATGTCAATCTTTGTCCCATCAACTTCATCCTTAGAATTTTAATTTGCATAATTTTTTATATATTTTTAACAGCTCATGTGATTGAGCAACAAAAAAAAAAGGCACTAATAATTCAGTAGGTGGAATGATCTGACTCTTCTTCTCCCACTAATTTGTCCACTCATGTGCCAATGCTTTGGGGCTGCCACCCATGCAAGCATGGTGTCAAACAATTGATGTGTATCCAAATGTCCCAACTTTTGCTGCAAGCATGATGGAGATGTGCCTTGTAATAATTGGCATTTATTTTTTGGTCCCTTCTTTAGTACTACTATATGAGTTAAAATGCAAGAATGTTATCATTTCATGCACTTTACTAATACTTTTCCAATTGATGTGTAACATAGAAATTTTAATTTGTATTTCCTATTTCTATGAAAAGAATGTGTTCTAAGGCTCAATGGTTTGAGACTGAGGAGAATAAATAAGAATAATTTATTAAAAAATTAATTATTAATTTTTTTATCGAATGATGTTATGTATCGAATGATGTTCGAATGGTATTTGTAATCATCGGATAGTATCTCTCGATGTTAAACCTTATATAAAAATAAATATGAGGGATCATAAGGTAAAGAAAAATAGTGAGGATTTTTTTGACGAAATATTTAATAATGATTAAAAAAATTATTGGGAAAAAAAAATAAGCATCAAAATTTAAGATAAACAAAATAAATAAATAAATAAATTAGTGCAGGATGGGGAGGGACAGATATGGAATTTTGTATTTTAGACCTCAGATTCCTCCTCTCGCTGCGATCATTCGCACTGCTTTCATGTTGATGAAAAGTCCACCACGACTCGGTCCGGAATTGTATGACTCACCTGCCGCTTTTAATTGTCGCCCGGCTTCTCTGTGTCTGTGCCTCTGCCCCCTCCCTCAGCTGCCCCTCTTGCGTCGCCAGGTACATCTGCCGTCTCCATGACTCCATCCTGATCACCTTCTCTTGCTCTTTGATGTGTTTGTTGTTGTTATTTTGATCGGGATTTGGGGCTTTTACGTCGTTTTGCTTGGTTTTGGAAGTGAATCCGCGTTTCTGGGGATCCGCAATGGTATTCACTGAGGGGGCGGTTGGGATGTTTAAAGGTGACTCGGGTTTCGATTTGGTTTCGTGTAGCGTTTTTGGGACTCTGGATTCGTTTGATTTTGATCGCTTTGTCGCCGATCTGACGTTCGCTTCTCCCTGGTATGCTGGGTTAGGGTGCGGCCTGGTTCATTTCGCGTGAAAGTTGGAGTCTTTTCTTCGTTGGTTTTCAATGTGATTAAAGATGAGATTTTTAGTGGTTCTATTTTGCTCTAAATGACGAGATTATTTCCTTCGTTCCTTGATTTATTAGGGTCTTGATTCCCTCGTTCATGAAGTTTTGTGAATGGTTTAGCTTTTCGTGATTTTTGAGAATTCTTATGACCCAGGAATTTAGTGTTCTTTATTTCAAGGTAGAAAACTGTTCTGGGAATGCTTGGTTGACTTGCTTGGGGACGTGCCTTTTTTTTGTTTTTGTTTTTTTCTTTATTTTCTCAGGAGTTAGGCCTAAGATTTGAATATTGAGAATCTTTTGTTCATCTTCTTGACCAAGTTGAATTTTTGGGTTGTGTGCTGAATTGTTGGTTTTCTTCGCTACAGCTCTCTTGATCTGACTGGCAATTAGAGGTTGGGTTCGTTGGAAAAGAGGAAACTGATCTAATTCACCCTCGTGCTTATTATGAAGGAAAATCCTCAAATGCTACCCACCAACAGGAGTAGAACTCAACCCAGAGCTGTTAGACCTTGGCCCCTTTCAGGTTCTTTTTTTCCCTTTCATTTGAGATCACATGTTTTCTTCTTTTGTTACTTGATGAATCTATTTATTTACTTTCGATTTGACTTTTGAAGTGGGTCACTTGAATACGACTTTGTAGTTTCACTAATAACTACTGCTTGTATATGGTGGTGATCTGTTTTTTAAATTTTTCACAGTTGGTTTTTTTTGTTGAGAAAAGCCACAAATTCAACTTTTTATGAATGTTGTCATAATGTTCGAACTTCATTTCTCAAGTTCATTCTTGTGCTTTAGAATTACGTATGCTCATCTCTCTCTCTCTCTCTCTCTCTCTCTCTCTTACTACATTCAAGTTATTCATACTTGCTATTGCTCCATTTTTTTTTTTCCAGGGATGGACAACTCCGATTCAAGGCGCAAGCCTCATGTTTATGGAAAACTTCTGATGGCAGTTATTCTGACAGCCTTCTGCATACTGATTTTAAAGCAATCCCCGAATTTTAGTGGCAGTAATGTGGTAGGTATTCACCATATATTTTGAGCCAAGTGTATTTTTAGGAAAAGCTTTCATTAAATATACGAGTAAAACTGCTTCAGTTATGCTGAACTTTACACAATGTTTTATGGATCTGAGTGTTGGGTGGTTAAGAAACAATGTATACAAAATATTTATGTTGTCGATATGAGAATGTTGAGATGAATGCATGAAGTTACTTAGAAATATAGAAAAAAATACTTTTATTCGTGAACAATTAGATATCACCTCGATAGAGGATAAGCTGAGAGAAGATCGTTTAAGATAGTATGGGGCATGTGCTTAGGAAACCTCTAGATACGATAGTCAGGAGAGGAGAAATAATTAATATTAGTAGTACTAGGGAATGTAGAAAAAGACCTAACAAGATTTTAATAGAAACTATAAATAAAAATTTAAGTACTCTGAACTTGACTAAGCATATGACTTTCTACATATCTCAAAGGTGGCAAAAAGTCCATGTAGTCAACCCCAAATAGTTGGGACTTACGGTTATGTTGTTGTTGTTGTTGTATAGTCTTTTATATGATAGGTAACCAACACTAATGAATAGTATATCCTCAGTAGCTGCTACAACAGGTTGGTTTCAGAAGCCTTTTCAAAATCATGTATAATTACAGTAAACATGATGACACAGGTCCTCTATATTTGAAAATATTGTACATTACATCCCTCATATTAGAATTCCCTTTTCTGGGAGTATTAGCAAATAATAGAGCTCTCTCTATGAACAACAGTGTTATAAGCTTCGTTTAGGATTTTTGCTTTATTAATTTGATCATTTATTTTCTTCTTTTGGTTTTCCTGACTCAGAGTTTCTTTATCTTACAGTTTTCTCATCATGAACCTGGGGTAACTCATGTCTTAGTAACAGGCGGTGCTGGCTATATTGGCTCGCATGCTGCACTTCGACTCCTAACAGACTCATACCGTGTTACAATTGTGGTAATATGACTCAACCAAGCACACATATGGACAAACTAAAAAGATCTGTAGGATCTGATTAGTAATTTTTTTTTAGTTGTAATTGATCTTTCTCTGCTGATTTTACAGGATAACCTTTCCAGAGGGAATCTTGGGGCTATTAGGGTTCTCCAGCAGCTGTTTCCAGAGCCTGGAAGACTTCAGTTTATTTTTGCTGATTTAGGGGATGCGAGAGCTGTATCCTTATCACTTTATTATTTTGACAACCTAAAATTTAAATTTGGTTGAGATTTGGCTTAAAAGTGATCAACAAAACATTATTCCTTAATAAATCATTAGGTCAACAGGATATTTGCTGAAAATGCTTTCGATGCTGTTATGCACTTTGCAGCTGTTGCTTATGTAGGGGAAAGCACACTTGAACCTCTTAGGTATGTCATTTATGCAAGTATCTCATATAGACAAATATTGACTGGATTTTATCTGCTTGGCTAAACTTCTTGCTGCAGCCTGGACAATATTGTGCATTGAAAAATTCCTGTGTAGTATTGCATTAATAATTGCATTTGGTTTTTGTGTCTATACAGTTTATGAGAAAAGCCTCCGGTTGGAGGGCATGACCATGCAACCTTTTGTTCTTAAGTCTTATCTTTTACAGAAATGGTTAATCCTATCTGATTGCTTCTGAAGATTCCTTCTAGGTTGCAATAAATAAATATGGAGCAGAATCTTTTATTCTTTCCATATGCATCATGAGTAAATATATTATCAGATGTATATATGAGCCTTCTTATGTATGCATAGGTTTGAGATAGCTGCTATCCAATCAAATTTTGTATGCTGATGAATTGTCCTTTTTCTATGTACTCTGATGCTCATCTTGCTTTTTTTGTTTAGTGATCTTCTATCAACTATGACAATCTCAGACATTATATTCGTTTGTTCTGAGGCAAATATCTAGATGTTGAGGAACACACATTTTCTTTCACCCTTATTAAACCATGGTGTGGCTTTAAGCACTCAACATTTCTTTTCATAGTACTAGTTAAAATATGATCTGATATGAGTACATTTTCTTGTTACATAGTTAGACGTCAGAGATCTGATATCTTCTATCTAATTTATAGAATCTTTGTGGTCGAGGTAAATCTTTTATTAAAAAAATGGAATTGAATAAATTGTAGCATCCAATCAGCAGATGCATAAGATGAATTAAAATTTTGAGTTTTTATCCCATGGGCACCGATGGTCAAAGGTGTTCTCAGAATTTTGTTAAGAGTCTCACCCCATGTCAGCATGGGTTCAAAACATGGCATATTAACCCCAACAAGATCGAGCTTATATCTTTATGCTTTTGAAGACTCCATCATGAATGGGCTTGCAAATCATGACATTAGACTGACTTGTGACTTTTAGATTGACATTTGGTGACAAACCTGAAGAGTATTCGATGGTTCTTGGTTTGCATTTCTCCAATTCTAAACCAAGTCTTTGTTCTCAACATTTATTATGCATTTCTGACTTTATCTCAGGACCTTAACCAACAATGTTGGAACTTTGGTATCTCGATATTGCAGTTGCTTATGCGGTCTTCAACTTTTTCTTTCATAGGTACTATCACAACATCACGGCAAATACTTTGGTAATTCTTGAAGCTATGGCAGCACATGGCGTTAAAACTCTTATTTACTCGAGTACCTGTGCTACTTATGGAGAACCAGAAAAGATGCCTATTACAGAAGAAACTCCTCAGGTAAGAAAGAGTTAACCTTTGTTTGCTTCAATCAGATGATACCAGAGGCATCTAGCTTTCCTGGTTGAAGGTCAATTCTATTTTGCTCTTGATAAAACTATAGTATTCTGGTGCTTTTGTCCAGAGCAAGCACTCATGAATGTGATAATGACTTGAATTTCAAATAAAATTGCAGCTTCCTATCAACCCATACGGGAAGGCCAAGAAAATGGCAGAAGACATCATCTTGGATTTTTCAAAGAGATCAGACATGGCAGTCATGATCTTAAGGTGGATTGCTGATAGTAACAATTTTGACTATGAAATCTGTTGGAACATGAGATTAATTTCTTTCTCCACATCGGCAGGTATTTCAATGTCATAGGCTCAGATCCAGAAGGAAGACTAGGTGAAGCTCCTAGACCTGAACTAAGGGAGCATGGACGTATATCTGGTGCGTGCTTCGATGCAGCACTAGGTATCATACCAGGGTTGAAGGTATCTTTATTCATCTTTCAGTAACCCAATGCTTGATTGGATTCATTCTTGATTAGCTTCAACAGTATTTTTTTTTAAAACAATAATTTTATGTGTTTCCTGCATAGGTTAAAGGAACAGACTATGCAACAAGTGATGGAACTTGTATCAGAGACTATATCGATGTCACTGACCTTGTTGATGCTCATGTGAAAGCTCTTGACAAGGCAAGGCCTAACAAAGTTGGTATATACAACGTTGGTACTGGAAAAGGTTGTTCTCCGTCTCTCTTCTCAGTGTGTATGTTTTTCCTTTCTGTTCTATGGCAGGCTTAGCTCGTCGAAACCTGACAAGTCTGCTCTTTTATTTCCAGGAAGGTCAGTCAAAGAATTTGTCGAGGCCTGCAAGAAGGCAACTGGGGTGAACATCAAAGTTGACTACCTTGAACGTAGACCAGGGGACTATGCCGAAGTCTACAGTGACCCTTCAAAAATCAATTCGGAGCTCAACTGGACCGCACATTACACCGATCTTCAAAAGAGCCTCTCAACCGCATGGAGATGGCAGAAATCACATCCGAATGGTTATCGGTCACCATCGGCCATGGCTGTTTGATCAACTGTTCCACTCGATTATACATATTAGATTTCATGAAGATGTCAGCTTCTGATAGAAGTCATTAGCAACCTTCATTGCTTAGATTAATGATGAGGGTGGTCTTGGCAAGCATAGAGGAAGGATTCAATCACTCGCGAAGTCTTATCATACTGAGTGTAGGAATCGAGATAAAAATGTGTTATTTTTACAAAGGTTATGCAGAAGCCATTAAAGAACAGAGCTCATAGTTGTAATCCCCCATTGATGGATTTCTCATGTATGATTCTTAAGTTGTGATAAAATGCCATGATTATTCTTTTTCCCATATAAATATAGAATCATCTGAGCAGAATATACACCATGTGTGTCCATCTGTCAGTTTTCCTTTCTTCCTGAGACAACCTAAAATTTTGTGCAGGGAAGTCATCAGCTCAATGGAAACTACCTTTTGAACTTATGTGTGATCTCACTTTCCAATGCATTTAACTATAAAAGACTCGATATTTAATTAACACCACCTAATTAAAAACTGACTTAAGCTACGAAGAGATTATATTGAAAATTGAGATAGATATAAAATAGGACTTCGATCGGCTCTAATTCAACATTCAATAGGATACTATATCTTTCAATTTTTAAAAATAATGATATATATATATATATATATATATATATATATATATATATATATTGCAATACTTCACATGTATTCTTCATATTAATATTTATGTAAAGATTTAGATTAGTCACTGTACTTAACATTAACTAGTTTGGGAAATATATAACATCTTAAATATTCGTAACGTTTAAATTTTTAAGGGTATTAATGTTATTTAAAGGATAGAAATTAACCATAATGACATATATATGCAATTTTTTTATATTATCCAACGTATATTAATGCACAAAAATATATCTAAACTTATATTGGGTGAATGAATATAAAAGATATCTATTTTTCCCTTCCAAAATTAGTCATTATTTTTTTAATTCTTTCACTTCGAAAAAGGAAATTAAACACAAAATATTTTATGATAATTACTTCTTTTCAGAAAAAGAAAAAATAAAAAAAAGAAGTAATTACCAAACAATATTTCATGTTTGAACCCATTCGGTCTCACCTAATGGTTAGCGCTCGGACTCGGTCCGGTGCTTGGCTTTAATCCACGTCATTCGTTTGGACGACCGTGATCATTTACGCGTCCTCATTGAAGGGCTCAGATTCACCTTGACTCGTCCAGATCTGCCCGAACAACCCCGTGGGTGTTTCTTCGAGGGGGGAGGCGGGTTTCCTTGATGGGACGGAAGCTCGGACCATGGATGGCAGCGATCTCCCGGCGTTGCCCGCCAGCGACTCGTCGGTGCCGCCGCCTAGTGGAGGAGGCGGGGCGGACGGAGCGGAGGGGCCCGCTTGGGGACGCGAAGGTTGCGAAGCCCTCGCTGGGGCGATCGCATCGACGCTGGGTGCCGTGATGAGGGAGTTCGATTCCAGGGCGGAGGGCGTTGACCGGAGCCAGGATGAGCTCTCCACTTCCCTGGATCGCCTCGCCAGAGGTAAATCATGTTGGGCGAATCCTTGGATCTTGCTAGATTAGGGTTTCCGGTTCCGGTTTCATGTTCTTTTGCTACTTCTCTCATCCAAAATGAGATTTTGATTTGTTTTTGCAAGGTTTTGTCGTCGTATATTGACGTGAAAAGCTATAAACTTTATTATGGTTTCCTTGGATCTATCTCTCTTTTGGTTCATTCTTGTGTTACAAAAGCTTAAACACGATTTTTTTTTTTTTGTCAGAAAAAGCTCTTGAATTTTATGTGGATAATGATTTTTTATTATTTTGATTTTTATTGATGATTTTTCAGGGCTAATTATAGGTTTCTTATAGTAGTCATACCTCTTTCGTAGACGGTCCCTAGATTAAAAAAAATTATATTAAAATTCTTATGGTTAGGAAGGTGAAATATCTGATTTTATTTATTTTAACATCATCAGTAAAAGTATCAAAAGGATGGGCAAAAAGATAATCAACATCCAATTACATTTTCGGTGATGACGAATGATGTCATTCCTGAGCTGTGGGTGGTTGTTCGGAATGAGGAAGAGTGACGATAAGAAGTGAGGCAAAGGAAGAGGAGAAAGATGTTGACACTCCTTATCTGCATCGGTGTCGCTCGGTAACTATGTCAATGTCGACATAGATCTAGATGTAGAGCGTCGCTTGATATCTACATCGACGTCGATGCAAATATAGATGTCAAGCGACCTTTTCGTCGCTCTGCACTTGCGTTGGCACCGATGCAGATGCCGAGCGATGCTCAACATCTGCATCTACGTCAGTGCTAATGTAGTTGTCGAGCAGCATCGATGTAGATGTAGAGCGTCATCCTCTCCCTTTGCCTCACCACTCGTTGTAACTCTTCTCTTTATCCGCAATAATTATCCGCGGTCTCCAGTGGCATTGTCGTCCACCATCACTGAAAACGTAAATGAGATGTTGAAATTATCCTTTTGTCTATCGTTTTCGTGCTTCCGTCAGTAAAACCGATGATGCTAGAATAAATGAAACTAGATATTTCACCTTCGTAACTATAGGGATTCTAATATAAATTTTTTAAATATAGGAACCGGGATGCTAAAGAGAGCTAAATACACAGGATAATATGTAATGTGCTCGATTTTTCATCCGTGAAACATCTGATTTTGAGAGATTTATTGGGTAAGATCCATGTGGTGCAATGTTCAATATTACTGTATATATGTAAGATGCAATCTGCATAAGCATGAATTGCAATTGCATATCACAAAGACTTATTTAGTCGCTGGATGCTTTTATATATATATATATATATATATGGATTATGTTTCCATCTGGTTAGGTAAATTTGACTTCTCTATCAATCATAGACTCTAATACATTGTGTTTTGTCTGAAATTTGTCACTCAAATCCTTAGTTAGTTGATGTTACTTCTCATTTTAGTTGCTTTGATTACAAATTACTTAGTAATTTCTTGATCTAACCATGACATATGTTGACCTATTTATTGCTTGAATCTGGTTGTATATTTCTTTCCCTCTTGGCATGAATTATATGTTGTTCTGTGTACCCACTTTCACAAAAGTGCTATGTGATACCTTGGTCTCCAGTATCTTATCCGGTTATACAAACATTGTTGTTTGTAGGGTTATGATTTCTCTCGATTTTTAAGAATATATATGTTAGATAACTCTTCTCCTCCTACAGATACTTGTGGTTTCATCTTTTGTTCTCATTCTCACAGTTTAATTCCCAAATGTTTTCCTTATCACATTTATTTTTTGGCACTTGTTTTTCTGTTTATTGTTGTGGTAATGCAAGCCGAGTGGATTGCATATCTCACTCCTCCCGCTCCCTATAGCATCAAGCAATTTCACATAGCCAGTTCAAGAGAACTTAGAGACAATCATCATCATCATCATCATGTAAGCTTCTGTATGCTCAATTTAATTGCCCTTCAACTATTTTGGTTGTGGCAGAACTAGACAAACTCTTAGAAGATGCGCCGTTGCCGTTCATCATGCAACATGCAGCCAAGATCTCGGCTATGCGTAGGAGGGTTTCAGCATTGAACTTGATTTTGAAGTCAATTCAGAGACGCATTGATAACATGGATCGTATGCTTTTTGCTGGCGTACCCACTGGTATTTGTGTGTTTTCTCATATACATCTTTCGGAGGTGCTTCTCAACCAAGTCCTTTTCATCATCATATATTCTGCTGATTGAGACCTAACCTTTTCTTTTCTAGATAATCACCAACAGATACAGTAGTCGTCACATTCAGGTATCAGTCGACATTTTTATTGCTGGTTATGTTTCTTAGCTCCTTCTGTCTGTCAAAAGATTTTTGATCTTTTTTTCTCCCAACCTCTAGTTTAGTTTCCTCTTCTTGATTGCACAACTCCTCTGAATTGTTTTGATTTATCACAGCATTTTAGTTGCTTCAAGCATGGAATGTTCCTATACCTGAGAGTGTATTTCACCCCTTGTATTATTTTCTCATAATCACACATTTGCAATGGTCATTTGCTCGTTGGATCCTTCAATCTTGGAATAGACATTCAAGGAACCACTGTAGATATACCTGAGTTTGTGAGTGCACCGAATGCTTTGTTGCTGCTCCCATCACTTTTCTTCCAGTCAGGTGTCATTAGCAGGAAGATGTAGCATTTTATGGATGTGATAGCTTTTGTTTCAAATTCAGATTAGGTTGAACCTGTGTAGTTCCAAGCTGAACATGTTTTTGATGGCTGATTCTGTTGCATGAAGCAAAATGTAAGAGCTTAACAAAAACCCATTCAAGTAGATGAGTCCATGGAGTCATCTTCATCTTGTTTGGCATGTAAATGAATTTCCATTGTGTTTCCTCTTGCACACATCACAAAAGGAAATGAAAGAGCTTAAAAAAAAATTCAGTCAAGCAGATGAGAAGCTAAACACTAAATTTTGTCTTGATTTACTGTGCTCTTTTACTGGCTTACTTTAGTTTCTAATGTCCCAAACTTAAGCTAAACACTAAGTTATAATTCTCAGATTTAAGTCCATATGTGAGCATCATGTACTAATGAAAATGTCTTCCAATCAGGAGGAAAAAAAAAAAGACTAGCAAGTACTGATCCCTTAGCAGTTTATGTTGCATTGATGTCCAATGGAAATTCAACATGTAGTAGTCATATTCATCTTGTTTGACATGGATAAAATTTTGCTATGGATTACCATTGTGTTTCCTGCAGAAAAAAGAAAATAGAAACATTGACATCTGATTATTCAGTTCAACTATGAGTTTGGAATATATGCAAGTTCAGTGTTACTAAGTTTTGTCTATTCAATTTGGAGTTTGCAGGGCAACATTTACAGGTTCAAGTTGCAGTCTAGACTAATCTGAGACATCTCTGTTACAGGTGGTTCAGAATAACAAGGAAACCTTCATTTCAGGAGCTGAACTGGGGCTCACTCTTTAACCTTCTCACACAAAACACTTACTTGAAATTTGCCAACTTTTTGTGTTGGCAGCTGCATATACCCATTTGAAATTTATTTGAGTGACAGTTTGCACCAAATTTTGATGGGTGCATTTGCTAGAGCAACATTGTGTTGAGTGTAGATCCATGATGGCTATGGCTTCTCATATATTTCACTTGTAAGGAGGTGGCTGCTGTTCTTGATTTGCTTATGATACACCATTTGTTCTGGTGCTTTATATGTTGACTCAAACCTTATCAACAACATCAAAGTTTTGTGAAATCTTCCAAGGGACACCCAGATGGGTTATCTGCAGCATAACCAATCAGGATATAAACTATGAGTCCTGTCATTAATGTTTTTATTAATTACAAGAAAAAAAAACACACTTTGTGACCTATTATAAGTGTTTTCTATCATTCTTTTTCTTATGAAAGAGTTTGGAATAAGTTGCAATTCCTCCTCAAGTATAAAAGCTAGACAAGAAAAGTAAAACTAGAGGCACATTTGGTACTGACAACCGATATAGATCATCACCATCATCGATTTCCTAGAAAAGTTTTTTTCTTTTTTATTTTTTCCCTTTTTGTCTTCCTCAGATTATAAACGAAAAAAATAAGAAAATTAATACAAGAGAAGAAAACTGAGCCATTTTATTAAAAAAAAAAAGATGATCCAGAAAAAAAGAAATGAAAGGGAAAATTTTTTTTCTAAGGAATTGAGAGGAGAGAATAAAAGAATAAAAACACATGAAAAGACAAAAAATTGTAAATTGTAATAGACGAATAAATTTGGGATCAGACTGACGTGCAAATGATTCGGCACGGAACTGCTGCTTCTCTTGGGAAACAGCCTCTGAAATCATTCATATCTTTCATCATCTCCCAAAATTCTCTAAATACCTCAGTATAAAGACAAAAAAAAATCGGAGAACCGTGGTGACTCGGCCGAGCAGAGCCGCTCCATCCCCGCCGCAAGACAAACACTATCTCTGTCCGAGACGACGGAGAGTCGGCGGAGGTAGTCGAGGACGAGATCCGAGGAGGACGAAGGGACGTAACAAGGGCCGGCGGAACTCGGCGGAGCGTTCCCCAGAAACCCTAGTGAAAGGCCAATGTCATGACGGAATGCTACGTCTCGTTATATAGCCCATTCTCGTGATGGGCCGGGCCGTCTCAAGTGACTGTTACGTCGCTCGCAAGCATCGTTTCGTTGTTTGCTCACGTGACGCGTTGGATTATCCCAGTCACCTGCCTTGTCATAGAAGGCGAGCGTGGGACCCCCAATCTTGCCCAATCATAAGGCAGGTATCCGATCCAGAAGACTAAGATCACATCTTTATTCTAAATATATGAATTAACTGTTAAGGTAAAATTTGAGTGATATATATATATATATATATATATATATATATATATATATATATATTAGATTTTGAAAAATGAATACAAAAATCATTATTCAAATAGTAAAGAGGAAAAATAAAAATATCTAATATATTATGATTGATCCTGAAACAGAGAATTGTGATGACTTCCAAGTCAACATCTGAAATCTTGGGACATGCTTGAGGGTGTATCTTTGTGTGACCTACGAATGGACCATCCTCGCATTCCAGGAAAAGGACTTCTCCTGAACCATATATTTTGATCACGCATTTCAGCAGTAACCTCATGTGCTTCTGCTATGCCAAGTTAGGCAGGTAAGCAGCGTCCCCAGGGATCCAGTGGATGCCAGATCTTGGGATTAGGACACCCATTGTATATGCTCTGTGCACCAAATGCTGCCATCTCGTTGCACAGTCTTTGGGGGTGGACACCATCACGCTTCGTGAGGTAGACTCTCACATCTCTCTCTCTCTCTGGTTTTCCGCATGCTCCTTACTGTTCTCTGGTCGGAGCATTTCATGTTTGTGTACAGGGGATCTGGTTCTTTCTTCGGTCCTCGAGGCATGAGTTTGCAGGAGCGCAGCTGTCTCAGATTAGGTATTGCTGGTTTCTTGAGCTTCGCGGGAACATTAGACGTAGATGTAAGAAGAAATGGGAGAAATCATTTGATGCATTGATGGTAATGCACTGGAACAGTCAACATAAGCAGCAAGCATATTAAGCATACTGAGACCTCAACATTCGAGAGCAGGTTTGTCTGTGTTTGGGGCATTGCCTGTACAGTTCCATTTCTCAGCTATACAGGTAGCTTATCAGTTTTGGATCCTTAGTGTTGCACAATTTTGCTCTAAACAGCATTCTGCAGCATCTCCTGACTACCATCCACGTAATTATTCATGGATATGCGCATTTGACTGTTTTCAAGTCCTAGGAGCTCTTACATATGCGCAGAAGAAATTGGTAGTGACTGTGTGATCTCTAACATGATATCATTAGTAAAGCGAAAGACTAAGTTAATTTCTCTGACTGATTTGATATAAATTTCTATTGCATGACTGTGATCGGTTAGAAATATGTAATTTTCATGAATAGTTTAGAGCACATGTAGTGGTTCCCATCTTTAGACAGACTCTAATTTGTTTGTTAATTGAGATTCAATCATGTAAATGGTTTCTGTGGAGAATAATTCTTGGAAAATATTCTCTGCGCTTCAAGACCTCCGGTTTCCATTGTTTCAGATTGATTTTTCTCTGTATCTGGTTTTCTAACTTGGTTTTTTTGTTCTCAATTTGCCTGAACACCATCCTAGATTATTTCTTAAGATAGTCGGATTTTGTAGTACAGAAAAGTCTTTGGGCAAAATCTTTCTTACTTCTCCTTGTGTTTTTGTTTTCTTGTTTTCTGTATGGATAATACAAAATGCTAAGATGCCAACAGATGCAAACAATTATAATTGTTTTGCCACTTGGACCTGATTGGTAGATAGGATCAAGTACTTGTTTACGATGTCTCTAAATGCTTTTTTGATGGTCATCTACTTGTATGTATTCAAACAAATCTAGATGTTGAAGTAGATTGATCATAGCTTTTGCTACCCCAACCGAGTCTGCTTAATTAAATACTTGATCATTGTTACATACCAAAAGATCTCCTAGCTTGGCTAGCTGGAATTCAGAATAACATGTTATGAGGCCACAGCTATCTACAAGTTGATCCGTTCTCCTCCTCAATTTAATAACATAGGGTGACATCTCTTGGATTAAATATTAGGCAACTTGTGATCACAATACGTCATGTCTAAATTGGATCAGTGCTTTTTATTTCCTAAAATCTTTTCTTTTATTGGACCTGGACAAATAATTTGACTTTTACACACAGGCCCTGAAAACCAGCAGCAGCTAAACTGCTAAACCAACAGCTTTATTCGTATGTCTTTTCTTGAATGCCTATGCTAATTAAACAAGTCCTTTGCTGACATTTGAATCGTGTTTTCAGGATTCGTCTGTCCCCAAACTGGTGATCTCTTGATATGATACTTTACTGCTGATGTTCTTCACGTCCTTTAAGAAATATGTTCATTAACAAAGACTAATCGTCCCTTACCTTTCTACACAGTATGCTATGTCTTGTATGATTGAATGGTCCCAGAAAGTTGTCTTGCAGAGCACTTGATTCTTTCATGAAATCCATTCTTTGATCTACTTTTTTGCCACTCTTGTATGATTGAAATATAGACTATTTGAGCATAAGCTTTCAGTATGCTCACTGCCAAAGCCTTACAACAGCAGAATTGGCATTTATGATCAGTTGTAAAATCCATCTAGTGATCACTTACATGTGTGTATTTTGTACAACTTCAATTTAATCTGTTCCAGCATGGTAATCTCATCATAAATCAATCTTGTTAATAAAACCAACATCCCTGACGGTAGAAGCTGTTCTACTGTATTAATAGACTCACCATATCACTTCCTTCTCCGAGTTACTTTGCTGTTATAAACTGGTGCAACTCCTAATGCATGTTTAGACTCTAAACAATTCCGTAAATTGTATTTTAGATAGGATCACTGTATATGCTTTGACATGTTCTTCTTGTGATTTAAACCTTAATGCATCCTCGGTTAACTTTCTTTTCTGACCAAAATATGCAGCGTGTGACTGCATATAGATAAATTGGCTTATAGTAAATGTCTTTGTCAAGTCACATCCTATGTATGTATTGCCTTTATAAACTATTTTTTCTCCTCAAGAAACATCAGTTTTCATGGCTGCTACTTTTGTTCATTGCATCTAGTCTACGTCACTGTTATGTATGATTAGAACTTCCCCTTAGCTCCTCATGTTAAAACCACTGAGCCAGTGTTGCACATATTAGACTCTACAGTAATCCAATTCGTTTCAAAGGGGTAAACAGGCATATCTTTTGACTCTTTGCTTCAGTGTTGCTTTCAACCAATAATTCAATTGTTTTACCTACTAACTTGAACCACATCTTTTGGGGTGTGGGTGTTCATCTGCTTCGACTTTTGTGGTGGAAAGCAATGCCGTCAGGTTTTCCTTTCATGACCATGCCAGGCTTCATCTCACTGGACAAGATATAAGCATGGACCCGGCAACAGGCTTATCCAGATCAAGTGTTCAAGTCTAACTTCAGCAGGTTGGAACGAAAGAGACTGTTTTGTCTGCATTGGTTTATGATAACCTAACCATGACTCTTCTTTGCAGATTTGTGTTCTTCTTCTTCGTCTTCTTCTTCTACCACTGACCAAAACCATGTGGAGGAGTTGCATTGTGCCATTGATCGGATGAAGAGTATAGGTGTTTGACAATATCTAATGAAAGATATGCACTCGGAGAAGTCAAAGATCAACGGTCAAGCTTCGTGCCATGGCACTCACCACTAATTGTTGAAGACAAACCGAGTTATCCTATCGGGTCGGATCATGAAGAAGAAAAAGAACGGCGACGCACAAAGACAAAAGGGTTTGGCGGGAAACGAAAATTGATGTGTGAGGTGAGGTGACGTGACGTGGGGCTTATCAGCATTGTCTCATTGGCCGGCATTATCTAGTACTTTGAGCAGCTGCCATGCCATTGGGTTGAGGAGCACAGACAAGAGAGGTAGCTATCGGAAGGGAATGCAGAGGGGGTGGGCTTCAGCTGCCGAGATTCTTCGGAGCAGAGCACATTCTACAAGAAGACAACAGGGAGAGCAACTCCCTTCATCAAATGCGACATATCCCCCAATTATGGCATGTAAAGTGGGCACTTCACTTGCCCGTGGATGATGCCACCAAAGTGGTGCAATTGGGCAGTCTTTCAATCCTTATCCTGTTAAAGTAGTCCCCTCCCTACTCGACTACTTGTTTCTGTGATCCAGAAAGTTATATTTACTCTTTATTTTCGAATCAAAATGTAGACCTTTTCATCGGAATTCAACAAAAATAAAATTTTTGAGTTTGTTTTAGCAACTACATCGCCACTATATCGAGCTTTAAGAGAAATAAAAATATGAACTGTATAGTATAAGGCTTTTACCAACGGATGGTGAAAGGCTTTATACTAAACATATCATCTAATTTTCTTTACTCCATATGCTAATATATTATTGATAATTGTCCGAGCTAAAAGAGAGATCAGATCTAGTCGAGATAATAATTTCTATGTTAGTCTTGGTCCTAGTCACCATTCCATTTATCTGGTGTCAAATCTACAAAACTAAGTCGAGGGCACTCGATACATCTTGGAGGATCTTTCGTTTTACAAGAGTCTATTAATATAAATTTTGATTATCTGAACTGCAAAAGGGTTGGAGTCCATCCAAGGTTCTTTTTATATCAATCTCATCTCAATCTTATTCATTATTTTACAAAGTGTAGTAGTTGCAAACTAAGTTGGGAGGACGTATTCGACAAATGTTTTTCCGAAGATCAAATTAGTTTTGAGTTTGAATTGGTCAAAGTATCGAACAGTTCTAATAAAGAGAATTGCTTAGTGTGCAGGGAATGCATTTAGAAAGTTGCTTTTGTAGATGGTTTTGAGGATCGGTACGTCTAAAATTATCGATAATCGTACACATTATTTGAATCTAGACTGCTCGGGCTCAACCAAGACTATAAATATATTACATCGACCTTAAGCGATCAACATATCGACCATATGATATTAGCGTGATGCTCGAACCACCTACCACATATCAATCATATGAGATTGAAATAGTTTTGAATGATTTAACCTAGAAAATTATATAAAATTTTCCTGAGACATATTGTAATATTCTCCTTCTTCCATGAGTCTATTAATGTAAATTTTCATTATCTGAACCGGAAGAGAATTCTGAGTCCATCCTTCTTTTTATATCAATCTCATCTCAATCTTATTCACCGTTTACAAAGTGTGGAAGTTGCAAACTAAGTTGGGACATTTTCATCAAATGCTTTTCCAAAGATCAAATTAGTTTTGAGCTCAAATTGGTCAAAGTATCAAACAGTTCTAATAAAGAGAATTGCTTAGTGTGCGGGGAATGTACTTAGAAAGTTGCTTTTGTAGATGGTTTTGAGGATCGTTACGTCTAAAATTATCGATGATTGTACACATTATTCATGAGTTAAATCGAGAAAATGACATCATTTTCATTGAATCTAGACTAATTATCGATGATTGTACACATTATTCATGAGCTAAATCGAGAGAATGACATCATTTTCCATTGAATCTAGATTGTTCGTTGACCGGCTCAATCAAGACTATAAATATATAGCGTCAACCACATGCGATCATTGTCAACCTTAAGCGATCAACATATTGACCACATGATATTAGCGTGATGCTCGAACCACCTACCATCTATCGATCATATGAGATTGATATAGTTTTGAATGATCTAACATGTCAATCATGTGTTGTCATATATATGTGTTGATGAAACGTTTATTGTTTCATTCCTTATCTATCGAACGGTGTTACATGTGTTAATCATTTAAAAATAAAAAACACATTCTCAAGTTTATACACGTTTAATCACGTCCAGAAATTGATAATGTTTTGACACCACTCGGAATCAAATTCATTCGGATGGAGAAAAAAATTATGGCATATATTATATAATAAACTAAAAAATGAATCAAGAATAAATATGTCATGCTAGAATTAATTGAAGGCGACAAATTGTGAAGCTTTTATTTATTGGGTGCTCCATTTGCTCACGGATGATGCCACGAGAGTGGTGCAATCGGGTGACGTCATGTAGTTTTATACGTTCGTCTCGATCGGACGGCCCCGGCGGAGACAAGTGGCGATTGACACGTGAAAGCCACGTGGAACGATTGATGTTTTGGCACCACTTTATCCTTCCAATCTTCGATCCCTTAAAAGGAAAAAAATAATAATAATAAAAAGGAAAATGAAGAGATGTGGACATACAAATTCAACGCTGATATTTATGTATACTATAAGCTACATTTGTTGCATTCAAGTCTAATTGCTTCTACCACGTCATGTACTCTCAATTCTTCTTTAATATCACTGGTATCAAACAAATTTGAGGTACAACAATAACACATAACTATTAACATTATTTGTTGGACGATTTCCCTAGAAAACATTTTTTTTATTTTGAGTATTTATCAATCAATATTTTTATTTTATTTTATTTTTTCAAATAGTACTTTTAATTTTAAAAATAATCTGAATTATCCTTCAAAATGTTTTTCTATATCTTATAATAATATTTTGATATGTCACAATATTTTTGGCCTGCTGTAGTGTTTTGTTCACCACAATAAGAAGCATTGTAATTAATTTAAATAGACTCATAATCTCAACTAAATTAATTATAAATCTAAAAATATAATATTATAATAATAGTTTATAAGCAACGATTATCAAAGCGATGATATGAAGTCACTTATGGTGTATTTTAATAATATTTATAGTATTTTTTGTACATCAATAAGATACCGTAAATGTTATCGAAAAGCATTATAAATGAATCAAATGAAAATACCATAACAATTAAAAATTGATTAAAAAAAGATAGAAAATTTTTAGAGAGGTATTTTAGGTTTTTTTAAATAAAAAATATTATGTTACTCTCACCCACATCCATCAATAATATCAAGTTAGCTACTCCTAATTATGGTTATTTCTAAATTTAAAATATTAAAATTCAACAACTAAAGATACCCTCAATTACTTTCACTCATCATTTGACCTCTCATGCTCTAAAATATTTTCTGAAGGAAACTAAAGTCAATTTGGCTTTCAATGTCATAACACTCAATTGACTAAGATCAACTACAATGACATATTTGTAGTCTTGAGTTTTAACAAAACAAAAAAAAAACATATGCTGAATTTAAATTCAAATGGGATAAATATAAAAAAAAAAAATCACTGATTTTTGGAGGGATATCTGTGAACAATCTTGTATCAAATATAAACCCCACAAAAAAGAAAAGAAAAAAAGAAACACCATATTTGTGAATGGCATTGTGCAAGAGTAACATCACCATGACTTGAGACTCTTTGCATGTTGTCCAACAAGAACAAATTGAGTCACTTTCAGGTAGTTGTTAGCCACCACTGGTTAGGTTTTATTGATCACATATATATATATATATATATATATATAACCCAAATATTATTTCTGGCTATGGCTCCATCAGGTCATACATGGCATTTGACACTTGAATCATTGAACACAATATATTGCACCACAGGAAATTAAATGTTTAGATTGATTGCTTAAATTGCAGAATTTTAGATGCCTCCTCAGCCATATGATGTATTATTGCATGCCAGTGGGGCCAGCAAGGATCCAAGTCATGGCATTATCAACATTGATATGAAGAAAAAGAAAAAAAGATGCCTCAAATTCTGACCCATCTCCTCTCTCTCTCTTTCTCTTTCTATATCTACTCTCTCCTCTCCTTCACTAGTTGATATTTCTGCCTCTTGTTAGTCCTCCTCCTCCTCCTCATCATCATCATCATCATCACCATGAGCTTCTTGAGCATGATGGAGGCAAGACTGCCTCCAGGGTTCAGATTCCACCCACGGGACGAGGAGCTTGTCTGTGACTACCTCATGAAGAAGGTCTTCTGCGGCGGCAACGGCGGCGACGGCGGCTGCTGGCCCATGATGATCGACGTCGACCTCAACAAGTGCGAGCCTTGGGAGCTTCCTGGTACCGCCGCCAGCCACTAGTAATCTTGCTGTAGCAATATGGAACACTCTCTTGCATACATGCGGCTCAGAGGATCTTAGAATTCTCTTGTAGGATGACAGCAGCTGATGATATCTTCTTCTTTTCCTGGTTCCAGATTCCCCTGTGGATGAACAGCTAGAGCTTTCTCTGCCTTAGGCTTTTCTTGATTTCTAGAACTGTGCGTGTGCGTGTGTGTGTGTTAATTTGCACTAAATATTTTTGTTGCTTTTAGCTGTCTTAAATCCATTGTCTTCCTCAATACATGCATACTTACTGCATACGACATGCATGAGTTGGATTCCTCAATATCGATCGCATCATCCTTCCTATGTAAAACTATAGAGTAGAAATTGCAAACGTCTTGTCCTCATCTTGGCTTTTTATGCCAAATCTTTGTCCCCTTGTAAACCTCTTCGTGTATCTCGATCCATTCCTGGCGACCTTTCAGATCTCGAAGAGGAACCATATATCATTGCACCAGTTGGAGGTTCAGAACCTCAAGTCTCTCCCAAGCCTCATGTGTCATAAACGATCATGGTTCCATAATACATAGCCCGATCCACAAATAAGGATGAATCAGTCACCTTGCTTCGATCATATGTCGGATGATGTAGTGATGTTATCTTCTGCGAGTTGTCGTGGCGCAGAAATGGCATGTGTGGCGGGGAAGGAATGGTACTTCTTCAGTCTCCCGGACCGGAAGTACGCGACCGGGCAGCGGACCAACCGGGCAACGCAGTCGGGCTACTGGAAGGCGACGGGGAAAGACCGGCAGGTGAGCCGAAGAGGCGTGCTTGTTGGCCTGAGGAAGACTCTCGTCTTCTACCGGGGAAGAGCTCCCAAGGGGAGGAAGACCGAGTGGGTCATGCATGAGTTCCGCATGGCAGACTCTGACGATCCTCCACAAAAGTTCTCGTCCAAGGTAACACACCCTACTAAACATCATCAGACGACTCGTATGTCGATGAGTGTCTTACCAGCTTTGTGGCCACATTTTGGTTGTGATTACTATGATGATAATGATCCTCTCGATTGCCACAAGATAACCCTTCGGATTTTGCTATGAACCACGAAGCAATCATGTTATCGTTGTAAGTGATACGCCAACCTGATTGCATTTTTGTCTTCCAGCAGGATGATTGGGTCTTGTGTAGAGTATTCCACAAGAGCAGAGGGGTGGCATCCAAGCCCACCGCAGAGACTGGCGACGACGAAGCGGTCTCCTCTTCCCTCCCTCCTCTCACGGACGGCCACATCGCCCTCGAACAAGCGCCGCTGGGTTCACGAGGATACGACCAAGTGTCCTGCTTCTCCGACCTGAACCCGCACTCTGCGTCACACGCAAATGATGCGGCTTACCCTCCTCTCTCCGCGGTTGAAAGGAGCCACCAACTCAAGAGCTCAACTCTCGTGGGGGGATTACTCGACCTGGGATCTTCTGACCAGGTCGTAAGCTCTGTGTTGAGCCACTTCACCAAGTTGGAGGGGTACCCAAAGCGGGAGTTCCCTCCAAACACTAGTGCTCCAAGAAGCTTGGACTCCCACTTCACTGGAAATGGTTTGTCATACGTTTGGAACCCTTTTTGAGATTGCTAGTTTAGTTAGATGAAGGAAGAATCTGTTCATGTGCACATACATGTACTCCATACCTATTTGTAGGTGATTGATTACTTAGCATCGTGCAGGGATTGCTCACGCAAGAGGGAAGAACAGGCATACAAGTTTGTGTTTAGTACATTGGACTCTTTGTTATGATTGGAATGTAATTGTTTTCTGGAGCTCAAGAAATGTAATTATTTGTTTTGCTGCTGTTCCACCACAATCATTTCGATCCTTTCCCAGGAAAGAAAAATAGAAAACTTATTCATAGCTTTTGTCCTCGCTTCTTCTTCTTCTTCTTCTTCTAAGCTTCGACCTCGATCTGTAGCTCGAACTCCTCACCCATGAGCAGAGACAGGCTCTTTATCTCTACCACACTAAACCTCCCATTTTTCTGGTGTGCAACAGTTGCCTCTGAGGTATTGCCCGCTCCCAGTGATTTCACAGATACTTTAGATGTTTCCTTCAACTCCATGCCAAGGATCACCACCTTGTTCAATACCAGCCTGTGCTTCGATGCGTATGCGCCGTTGACCACTTGTGATCGTAGCTTCGGGCCTTTCCCTTCTGTCTCCGCACTAAACCTCACCAAGCTCCACTCGCTCTCCTCCCCTGCCATCTCCACCGTCTCCCCGTCGTCCAGAAACACCTCCCCTGCCGCGGTTCCGTCCTCGTCGAGCACCACCAGGAGCTCGAACGGACTCTGCCGCGCCGACTGTGTGGTCAGGGCCTCGCCTTGCATCGCCAAGACGCTCCCTCCTCCGACGTGAACGTTGATGGCGTCTTGCGGGGCGTCAAGCGTTACATACTGGCCGGAGTTGCTCGTCACCGACTGTGAGTAGTTGAATAGGTTGAACCACTTGCCTTTTGGGAAGTATGCATCGACCTCGACGGCCCCCGGCTTCAGTACCGGGGAAACCATCACTCCTGCTCCGATCAGAAACTGTGTGCTGATGTTGTAGGTCGTTGCGTCTTCAGGGAATGAGAAGAACACTGGTCGCGCTATAGGCGCGCCCTTGACGTGTGCCTCGTACATCAAGGTGTAGATATGGGGAAGAAGACGGTACCGGAGTCCGAGCACCTTTCTCGCGGAAAGGGCGACGGAATCCCAGACGTAGAGCTCTTGTGGAGACGTCATGATGGCCGAGTGATCCCTCGAGAATGGATAGAATGCACCTAACTTCATGGCACAACACAGAAACTCCGGTCTCAGCTTGTTGCTTCAGCCGCAATGCGGTCTGCAAGTTGAAGGAAACAAGAGCAATTTACCTGAATCCACCGCCGGCACAGCTCCTCAGTGGTGTCACCGCCGAAGCCGCAGATGTCTGCCCCGACCATGGGGATCCCGAACAGACCAGAGTTGAGAATCGACGGTATAGAGTACCCAAGATCTTCCCATGTCGCGACATTGTCGCCGGTCCAGTGCGCTGCATACTTCCCCGAACCCACGAAGGTCGACCGGCTTAGCACAAACGGCCTCTTCCCTGTGGATCCGATGAGCCCGTCATGGGTCGCCCTCGACTCCAGAAAGCCATACAGGTTGTGGGCGTTGTACTCCGACACGTTCCCGTAGTGAGTCGCAGATGCGGGGACTGTCTTGGTGTTGATGGGCCGCCGCACGCCGGCGTTGTTGATGCTGTAAGGAGGATCATCCAGCGAATTCAGCGGCGGAGAGGTAATGAAGTTGGATATCTCATTCATGTCGACCCACAGGCCGTCCACCGGAAGCGTCTTCCTAAAGATGTCGATCTCTTGAGCCCAGAATTTAGCAGCCGCTGGGTTGAGGAAGTCCGGGAAGTAGACTGGTCCGGGCCAGACATTACCAAGGTAGTTGCTTCCGCCTCTCTTCAAGAAGACATCTTGTTCCATCCCTCTCACAAACGTATCGTATGTGTAGTTGACGCTGATACCTACAATTGCTAACAGAGTCATCGTCTCTGCTTCCTGTTCGTTCCGATGCTTGGTTCTGCAGAAGCTTACCTGGATCTATTATGACGACATACTTCTGCCCATTCTCGTGAAGCTTGTCGACGAATTCATTCATCCTATCCGCTGGGAAGTTGATGGGATCGAGAGTGAAATCTTTGAATGCGTCCATGTAGTCGATGTCGGTCCACATTACCTCCAGCGGTATGCTGGCCTTGGCATACCCTCCAACCACCTCTTCAAGCTCGAACACGTTTTTGTAGCCGTATTTGCACTGGTGGAACCCTACATAAGAAGTGGTATGCATCAAACATTCGGATCACGCACTCGACGATGGACATCGAAAGCTTTGATCTGCTCACCAAGCGACCAATACGGCATCGGAGCCGGCCGGCCGATGAGCTCGGTGTACTGGTCCATCACCGACAATGGCGATGGCCCTGCAAAAAAGTAGAAGTCGAGTACTCCTCCAATCACTTTGTAGGTGATGTAAGATCCTCCGTATATGACGTCCATCCCGTTGCTGTTCAGGAGGAGCACTCCGTGGGTGATCCCCGGCGGATACGTCGTGTCGGGAGACGATGATCTGACGTCGATGTAGAACGGATGAGACCCATACAGATTCAGATCAGGAATTGACGCAGGGATATCTGAATTCCACAGGGTAAACGTGTCATCTGGGACTAGCTTCAACGACTTCTTGGTGTGCTCCCCGAGTCCATAGATCGATGCTCTGTCCGCCGGAAGCGACGACGAGGTCTCCAGGTAACTGTCCTTGAAGACAACCGTGGGGAGCGTATCGAAGAGGATGTCGCCCGTGGAGCGGCGGGAGACGGTGAACGTAAAAGGGGACGTTCCATGGAGGGTGAAGACGACGTCGGAGTCTGAGCTAGAGAGGACATGATTCTCCGGCGGAGACTGAGACCGGTCGGCTTCCAGCATGGAGCGGAGAGATGCCTGTGGCTCGCGAGGGATGATGTGCTGAGGGATTTCCCATCTTTCGTGGTCGGAGTCGGTGATTCGGACTCGTAGCCGATCGTTGGTCTCAAAGCTGCAAGCAGAAGAGGTGACAGATCACAGAGAAGAATTCAGGGTATATAATGAGGCAAAAGAAAGATCACAAGATTCTTTGTCTACTGCTACTCCGACCAAGGTCAATTTCGGCATAGATGAGAAGTCATCAGAGGCTAACCTGGCCAAGAGACCGAGCTTTGGAATGTCGGCTCCATAAACCGACGTCTCCTGAATCAGCCCGAGCTCAGCGGTCAACGTCTTCCCGGAAGGATCGACGCCTACCGATCGGAGATCGTACCCGTGTCCAACGACTTGTTGCTCTTGCGAAGCGGAGCAAGAAAAGAACAAGACGAGGAGGAAGAAGAAGCAGGGGAAGCTAGCAACAGAGCAGGAGACTATCCTCGCCCTCATCGTCCTGCACCGTCGTCTTTGACTCAGCAACCACAGACTAATATATATATATATATATATATATATATATATATATATATATATATATATATCTCCGTGATGGTTACCGCTTCGAACACGTGTCCCGCGTCTATACGACGCTTTAAGGAAGGGGGATGGGTGGGCATGGTTCATGAGATCGAGCAGCACGTGGCGGAAAAAAGGCAATATATGTGATTGGAAGTTTATCTTGAATACGTGGCTTAATTCCATTTGCAAGGCAGAGGTGGTCCATCCGCATGCTCCCCTGTGAAAGGGGATTGCGTGTTGGGAGCTGGACACAAAAGCGGATCAAGGAAAAGAGGTGATTTCAAGACGGAGATGGGCACTGCGCCCGAATTAGTTATACGGCACGTGATTTCAACTCAAACCTTATCATCTACTTTATGTCTATATACGACAAGACAAAGAAAAAGACAAAAAGCATGACAATTAATTTTTTTTGAAAAAAAAAATTATTTTGTTAAATTTTCTTATTAATTAATGCTTCTTGTCGATGAATTTGTATGTAGTCAGTCCTCCGGTCATTGACAAGTAAGTTGGAAAAGTCAACGGTCAAGAATGAAGATAAGGTCAATATCCACATATTAATGCTTTAGTATGGATTTTGGCCCATGTCATGATACGTGTGGACTTTGAATCAGTCGAACCTCACCAAGAGAAACGTACTCATCTGCTACCTTAGCGTTAAAGTTTAAGAGGGAATATTTCATCAATCAGATACAAATCTTCCGTGAACTTTATATATAGTAAAAGTATATGCATTATATATATATATATATATATATATATATATATATATATATATATATATATATATATATATATATATATATATACATACATACATATCATCTACAAGTTCTACACAAGCTTTCTATTACGTGTAAGTCAGTGTTTGAGGTTTCGTCAGATCAATACGAAATAGGCAGAATGTGTCCAATCAGACCCAAAAAAAAAGACACGTGGATCGTCTCAAGTGATCTGATCTGAATATTTAAAAATAAAAAATATATATATTCATGAACTCTATTCGCCAACTTATAGTATCGCCTCATGCAATCGTCTGTAACTCATCGTGCGCGACCAATGATAAGTTTTCTCTGCCTCTTTCATCTTTTATTATTTATCCTCTTCCTCTTTTTTTTCTTTTACCACCTCCTCTTTTTTTATTTGTCTACATTATTCTTTCCCTTTCATAAAAACTATAATTATATTATTATATAAAAGATTTTAATATCAAAAATTAAAATTAAATAATGGTAGATCAAATATTATGATTACGTATATTTTGATATTACTTGGAAAATCTTTATCTTATCCGTAAATGTATCGTCGTCAAATATAAAAAAAGCAGTGATGCGATATGTAAAAAGAATTATATTCATGTTTTTCTCTCTTTATATCATTCACAAAACTACTTTAAATGAAGAAGATTATAATATAAGTAAAATAAAAAAAGATTTATAATTTCTCAACATATACTTAACATTATATAAGATCATCACATAACAAAGAGACATTTAACATATTATCCCTATGAAATACAATTTATCTATAAGTGAAAGTAAAGTATATAATATAAGTAATTAAGAGAGTTTATTTCGTTTATCCTATCAAGGTCATCTTCTAAAGAATCTTATTATAATTATTATTTTTATTGATCGATAATTATACTCAAAATAAAATAACTTAATTAGATTATAAAATTAAAAAAAATACTTTACACATGTGCATACATTTTATAAAATAGGTCAGTAAATCCAATAAGCATGATAATACCACAATAAGTTTAACTACCAATACGAGTCATCACGATTATATATCATCAATATCATACTTTCTTTTTTGTATAATAATATTGTTAGTTATTCCTAATATATTTTATACATATTATACAATAATATATATATATATATATATATAATATAATATAATAGAAATAAAATAACTTTAATTACGTATGCACGAATCATAATTATAATGTCCACTCAAATATATATCATTATATCTTTTATGAGTTAGCCTTAGTGAATAGATTAACAATCGATATAGAACTCAAGTTCTTAATTGATATTAATTATTTTTAAATTTTTTTATTTAACCATCAACTAATTTATGCTAGAACTACTAGAGTATTTATTTTTCTTAGAGTAGAAAAATATTATGATATATCATAATATATTTTTAATAACTTGGCAATTAAGTCCGACAATACCAAATCTCAAGATAAAATTTTGTAATCATAAAGCTTGATTAGTGACCTCAAAACATACCAACAAATTAGCTTCTATTGTTAATAATACATTAATATATTATTATATATATTATTATAAATTATCCCTCAAATTAATATAATATAAAATATAAATTATATTTCTTACTATCTAAGTAATTTACAAAATTATATTTTGAAAATATTATTATTTCAATCTGATCTAATTATATATGAGTATTTTTTGTTCAAATTTTTAATATTTTATTCATAGATAACTCTAATATCTACCTAGTATTTTAACTATAAAATTGATATCTAGTCTAGTATAGACTTGAATATATAATAGAATTCTAACTAGGTATACATATAAAATATTTTTTATTTAATTTTTTTTAAATTATTTTATAAAAAGTTGCTTTGATTGAAGTTTTTTACTTTGTATACTAAACATCTCAAAAATTTGGTCAATATATATTTTTACGAAATAGTGACAATTATTCTTGAGATTTATCTCTAAATATTTTAATATTAATAACACATTGTTTTATTCATATCAATCATCTTAAAATTCAAACATATATTTGTTTCTTACAATAAACCAAGATCACTATTAGTAAAAAAAAAATTATCCACATGTAAACAGATATAATAAGCTAGCTTTCGCTAACGTTCAGATTAATATTGATCAATTATATTTTTCTTAAATGTAAAAAGAATACATATATTTTTCGTTAATAGATATAAATAGATATATTTTATTCAATATATTTTCCAACACTCTTTTATATTTTCCAATTTCACCTCTTCCTTGGCCAAAAGTTATTATTTTAGTAATTCTTTACTTACAAATAATCAACACACATATATACATATCTTATAATTTTTATACAAAACGAAGAGGGTATCGAGCCTGTCATCACATCTACTTAATAATGATCAAAGAAATAATGTATTGCGGTCATCGAGTTTGATCAGTATTTATCAAGTAAGATAAATATTTTTCATATATTATTATTATGCTTTTTATCAATAACACTTTTATTTTCCTTCGATCTATTGTTTGTACTAAATTTATATTGAAAATTATTAATTCAAAAAATATAAACTTGTGTATCATACCAAAAAAAAATCCTAACGTAGCTACAAAGTTTAAGAAAATTATGATGCAAATTGTGAAAAAAAAGAGACTAATCCTTATTTCTCATAAAAAGAAAAGAAAAATAAATGAAAAATATTTTTGGGCTCCATAAGAGGCCCATATAAGGCCCATTGTTTGCTACTCGAAGCGGGAGGCGATCTGATCCATGATTAGACCTATATCGACGAGTCCCTACTGTGAAGACTTTAGGGCTGCGCTCAAACCGCTCTCCGCAGGGGGGCGCGCCCTCTTCCTCGTAGCTTCTCTCTCGATCCCAGCTTCCGATCTCTTGGGGGAAGATGGAGACGCCCGAAGAAGCCCAAGGAAGCGCTTCGAAAGAAGAACCCCAGGAAACCCTCGAAGAGATGCTATCGAGACACCGGTAATAGCAGCAGTCGAAGTTCGGATTTTTAATCTTCAAGTTTTGGCTTTTATTTACTTTACCCCCTTTTTCTTTACTTTGGTGACTCGATTGGTGGATTTCTAGTTGCTCGAGAGAGCCTGGTTTACGGCTGTTCTGTGGGATTTTGGTGGAGTAGTAGCAGTCCTTGGAGGGAAATGTCTCTTTTGGTCATCGGAGAACTAAAGAAAAACGCTTCTTTAGGTTGTCGGTTAGGTTTGTTTAGTTGAGAGGATTATCTTTCTGTATTTGTGAATCTTCTGCTGTCCATATTGTTGCTTTGGTTGGTGGATGCGTTACTTTTTTGAGTACTTAGATCTTCCAATATAATGCTCAGTGGATATTAATATTTGAAAGAAGGATTATGGTTTTCGGTTGCCTAACTAAGTCTCTTGGTTTAACTTTATCGTTTTGAAATCATGCTTTGGAGATGGAAAGCAGGTAGCCATACAAATATGATCTCGGTCTTATTCAGTGGATTCTAAGTCCATTTGAAGATACTGCTTAGCCAGCAGGAAGGCCTCCCTTTAGTTCCTCTATAGCCTTCTAGATAACTGTGAGATACTTCCAGCCTGTTGATGCTGGATCTATTTGTTTAATGTAATATAACTTGTTTGTTGTTTCTTTTGGGCTGTTTCAAGCTTCTCTGGATGTTTATTGTGTCCAACAGCTTAGTATCTGTATGGATAAGACGTCCTGATGCTTTTTAAGCAAGGCTTCTCACTATTATGACACTAGCACTAGGTGCTTGTGATTCGTTTTCCAACACAATAGCTTAGCTCATACCAGAAATTAATATGATTTCTTATTTCTAGTGCAGTAATACATGGTGAACTAGATCGTTGGTTGTTAAAAATAAAAGTAAAGTCTGGATAATTTTAGATGCATTTTGACCATCAGTTTCGTAACAGGTAGAAAATTTATGGAAAATATAATGAAAAATTAGATGAAATCAATATTAACAGTGCAAATAACATGGGAAAGAGTGCAGTATGATGTTTTAATTTGTCATTGAGATATGATGAATCTAATTAAAAGAGGTCTCATGTTTGAATTTTTTATGTGACAGAATTCTATTTTTCTTTTTGATTTTATCCATTACAAAAAAAATGATAGCCTTTTGATGTTTCTGAATTAATAGTATTGCTTGATAATTTCGAAGTTGCATTGACATTACAAAGGGCTATAACAGCAGAGAACATGGTTGATCATAAGTTTTTCACTACAGTAACATAATAGAATAGTTATCATGCTCTGCTTTTATTATTGGAAAACCTTTGCTTGATTAATGAAAGAAAGAAAAATAAAAACCATTGGTAGGACCATCTCTTGTGAATACAACACAATGAAATTTGAACTAGTTCTTGATAACAGATAATTGGTTTTTGTTGCTATGCTTTGACGCTATTCATTTAGGCTATCTATCCTGTTCACTATAGTTAACAGAAATGCTCAAATCATCCGAATATGGACACTGAAATTGAATTGCTACTCAACAAATTAACTATGAGGAATATATTCTAGGTGACATAATGATTGAGATATAACCTTGGAGTATGTTTCTCCACCTGTTAAAACAACCGTGGAAGTTAAAGATTTTAGAAATAAACAACTTGAACTTTTCTTTAATGCTTTTCTTCCTTTTGTGTGTGCGTTCAAGCTCGAATCTTGTTTGCTTAACTTGGTAGCTCTAACAGCGATACATCAATAGACATGCATTGAGTGCTGATGATAGGTTAGATTAATATGTACAATTAGATGAATCTGCTAATAAACAACTGGGTGTAGGTCTTTTGGTCATGTTATTGGAGGCACCTATATTAAGTTATATGGTCATTAGGTCCATCGAATCAGTCATAAAATGTACCAGAGCAACTCTGTGGTTCACTCTGTGAGAACTGATACATGCCAAAATCAAGTTATGCACACTGAGATGAGGGTTTCTTTGTTAGACCCACATTGGAATTGCGCCTTGATTTATGTTGATACACATCAATATAGGTGTTATCTTGTGCACATCAAGATGTGGGTGATTATGGTGCCCCGATGTACTCATATCAAGTGTTGATGATAGATTGGATTAGTATTACAAATTGATGGTTCTAGTAGGAATAACTTGTGCCTAAGCATTTTAATCCACATGATTCCAGGTCTATTTATGTGATTCTCGGTCTATTTATCTGAGCCATTATGTTAGCAAATCATCAGGCTGGATCGTTTGACCAAAATATGATAATTGTTATTTGGTTGTAGCCTGTGTAAGTTACAGCATATCGAGAATGGTCCTGTTAGATTGCAGCACACTCAATTTTACTGCCGACTTATATGCTGAATGAAACAACCCTCTCCACAGTGAACTCTCATTTATCATCTTGTCTATTTAAACTGCCTTTAAGGTCATGTACAGGAATGCAGAACACTGTACTTATAGATGAGTCATCATGGTACAAGTTTTTAAAGATGCCTTCTACTGGGCTTCTTGAAAGCTTACTCTGTTAAGATTGTCTTTGTGATCAACGCTTACAGTCCTTTAGCATCTGCTCAGCGAACTATATGATCAATATATGCTAACATAGCAAGTTTGATGATACTTCCACCAATGCTTAGTTGCTTACAACTTTGCTTTAATTGGGATCAAGTGCTCTGTCCCTTTATTTTAATTTGACTTGAAAATTTATCTTTTTATGATTTTAGTGCCTTTTCAGATCTATTTGTAGAATGGTAACATGCAGCATGAGGAGATGTGCGAGTCACCCCACAAATTACTCCAAAATTGATCAGAGAACCTTTGTTGTCCCAATGTTTATGGTTTTCACATAAATCAATGAACTCCAGGGCTTGAGATTTGACATAATGTGATGGATTTTATAATGGTTCTAAACCCATGCCCCACCAAAAGATGATAATTAGGCTTTTTCCAGTAGGTGTAAATGGTTGTCCTTCACATTATGGTAGCCATCTTGGAAAACTAATCAGTAGTCCTTAGGCAGGCTTTAATTTTGCTGGAAGCTTTTGCTTTTGATAAAAAATTAACATCCAAGCAATATCTTGATTCTTACTGGAATGTTTGCCTTCTCGTATGAGAACCGTTTTCATAAATTCTGATATCATGATCTGATATTTCTGATTACCTTGCAACTAGTCGATATAAGCTTCTACATTCCTGCTTCTGCTTCTGCTTTATTACAGTTCTACTTCCACAGTAGACTTTACCGAACCTTTTTTATTTATGATCTTAATATAAGCTTCTATATTTAAAGGAAAGAGATCATCAAGATCGATGACAAAGAGATGAGCCTTAAAAAAGCTGCAGCAAAAGGAAGCAAAGCTGAACAGAAAGCCAAGAAGAAGCAGGTAGAAGATGAGATGTCTCAACTTCGATCCCAACTAAAAGCTAAACACAAACAAGAACTTGCATCGTTGGGCTCTAAAGCAATTGGAAGCACAGAAAAAGATAATCTAGACGTTTTCGTGAAGGCCATTGTTGGCGTTAACATCACAGGTCATAGTCAATCAGCAAAGCCCAGCAAAGGAGCTAGGAGGAGAGAAAGAAGAGCTCAGGAAGAAGCAGCAAGAGAGCACAGGATACAGGAAGAGCAGAGTAACATCATTAGTGATCGTGTGATTGAAAATGAGAGGCTGGAGAGGAAGTTGGATCCCCTTGGACTAAGAATTAATGAAATAAAGCCAGATGGTCATTGTCTTTATCGAGCTGTTGAGGACCAGCTCTCACTTTCTTCCAACAATACATCACCTTACAGTTTTCAGGAGCTCAGGAAAATGGCTGCCAATTACATGAGACACCATGCATCCGATTTTCTTCCATTTTTCTTATCAGAGAGTAACATCGAAGTCGATGCAGATAACTCTCCCTTGGAAATATTTGAGAAGTACTGCAAGGAGGTTGAATCCACAGCAGTTTGGGGTGGACAACTTGAGCTAGGTGCTCTTACACATTGCCTCAAGAAACATATTGTTATATATTCAGGTTCATTCCCTGATGTGGAGATGGGGAAAGAATACAAGTCTGAAACAAGTAGCAATTTGAGCAATCCAACCATCCTGTTATCATATCATCGGCATGCTTATGGCCTTGGTGAGCACTACAATTCAGTGGTTCCCAATGCCATGAGGTAACTCTATGTTCTCCTTTTGTGCAATATATTTATGACTATGATTCATTCTCGATGTACAAAGACGACGAATCATAATCTTTTGACAGAATCAGATGATTAGTTGTTTCTCATTGTTGAACATGAGAGGTGATCTTTTGTCCGGGAGTTGTTTGACCTTCAATAATAGTGGAACTGTGAAGAAACAAAGGATCATATAAGTCGTGCACAATGTGGTTGTTTTTGCTTATGAATTTATCTGTTTGATTGCGTGGATTTAGAGTTCCAAGACTAAAAAACTGGGTTCAACTTATAGTGGTTATTTTTAAATGATGATTCTGATTATACAATCAATGTATAATCAGAATCATTTTTTTAACCTAATATGCACAAAATATATCTAACGAATGATGTGTTCAATGTTCCTATTCAGTCAAAATTATTCTTTGCTCATAGTCGATTGATCATTTATCTCTAGACCTTTTGTGGGACATAGTTTTTTAATTCCTTTCTTGTAGAAACCATGCTGGATATGCTTTTCCCTCCATTGCTGTAGCTCATAGAGTCAGCAAGAATGGTGCTAGATTAAAATCAAATGTTCTAATAGATCAACAATTAGATTTTAACTGTTTATGGAGTGTCTCTGAGTTCTTCCATCATGAGTACCAGGTCCACCAAACTCTTTAATGCAACAGTTACATATAAGGTGTTGATATTTTGATGTATTAAGGGGCGCACTCATCATGGAACAAGATGATGCAACCTCTCTCATACAACCTGGCTGATATTTCTGGACATGAACAATTGCACATGAGCAGTTGGTCAAGTAGATATGTAGTGTGTCGGTTTCTCAGGGTGGTGATACTAATGTCATTCCAACATGGATAGTTTTTGTCTAAGTTTATTTGAGGAAATGAGAGAAAGCATGCTTGCCTTTCTTTGGAATGATTTCTCACTTGTTGAAGCTAAATAAGATGACTCTTTGGACATGTATTAATCTGCTTAGAAACCTGGATAGAAGCTCTCCTCTATACTCTCACTTGTTGAAGGTAAGTAAGAGGGCTCTTTGGACATGTACTAATCTGCTTGGAAGCCTGGATAGAAGCTCTCCTCTACATTCTTGATTCAAGTGTAAGATTTCTAGTATTCCACTCTGGCAGAGGTAGAACATAACATGGATGCAGTTACATTAAAAGACTTTTGCTTTCTTTTCGATGATGATTTTACCTTCATATTTTCTTTGGAAAGCTTCTTGTGAATTGTTGTTACCAGGTTGTATATTTGTTTCATACCGAGGTCAAAAAAGCTATTATCCTGGAAGCTTAGGAGAAGCGAGTGAGTCAGGGCTCATGGACAAGACAATACGGGGGCAGTGACACCCACTGCTACCTGTCAACCGTTCCACAACCTCCATGACTCGCTCGTTTCTCCATCCTTCATGTCTACTCTTGGGTACACAAAACAGCATTGCACGCACTGCATCATTTCTGTCCTTATCTTACCTGATGCAGTACGTAAAAGAGACGAGGAAGAAAAGATCAAAGTCCCTGTTATCCTTTTTAGATCATTGTCAATCTCTCACATGCTTCGATTGGTGGTCCTGTGGACACAGTACAGTCTTCAATCGAGGGGGACCGGTGACAAATGCCACTTCCATTCTTGTGGTTGTAAAAGAAAGAACAGATTCAAAATTCCAGTCTCATAGTAATGTCATCTTATAAACTTTGAAGATGATAGGTGTGAGGACTTTTGGTAGCAATTTCCTTATGATTAGAAGCTGGTTTGTATCAACCTATGGAAATCGTGTAAGCCGGAAAGATAGAACTGAGGTGGCTTCATGGATTTTGTCAACCCATAACAAGCTTCGGTGGGAATGTGTGAAACACTAAACAATTAGGGCAGCAGCACAGATAAAGAGGCAGAGCACATAAGGAAGATGACAACATAGATAGGCAAGGAACATAGATAGATCCCTTCCCTGAGGTTTTCTTGAAGCAGGGAGAGATGTTGCACTTGAGAGAGGCAACAAAAAACATACTCGAGGGTTACTGCACAAGCTTTCACCCCGAAACAACCCACGCAAAAAGGGGCAATGGATGATGATACCAGTCTAACAGTACATGTACATCGAGGTGGTCAGCAGCAGGAGGAGGACCGGGCGGGCGTCGTCGAGGGCTTCAACACCACGGTGGGGACGGCGCTCCGCTTCCGCCGCTCGTGCTCCTTGATCAGCTCCGCCGCTACCAGGTCCAGCTTCTCCCCGTTGGTCTGTTCCGACAGCTTCCTCCCCTGAAACAGCACCGACTCCACCCCCCTCTCCGTCGCCCCGCATCCCTGCGTTACCCCGACGCCATTGTCAGAGACCATTCTCGACATGCCGTCGAAGATAAGGAGGGTTTACCTGGATCCTAACGTAGTTGCTCGCCCGGCGCTCCCCAAACGCCATCCCCACCGCTTGATCCACCTGCGTTTACTCGGACACAATAACTGTCACCGTATGTAATGACCGAAATACCCAAACATTACAAAGGACCCTCCTCCTAGATGAAGGGTACCATGGTCTTTTAAAAAGAAAAGAAAAGGGAGGATTTATTGAACGGAAATTTAAGTGCCGGAAGCGGCAGCGTCGGGGTGCTGACCACGTCGGCCTGGGCTCTGCCGGTGATCATCGCAATATCCGCCACGGAGAGCAGCGATGGAGCCTTCCCGAGTGACGCCGGGGCCTCCGCGCCCCCGAGCGAGACGACGAGGAGGTCCTTCACCCCCGCGGCGGTGGGAAACTCGCGACGATTGTTGAGCACGTGGGTGATGGCTGCCGCCGTGGGGTTCCACATCGCCAACCCGCCCCCGACCGCCCGGATCCGCGTACGGCCATCCACGGAGCGCATCTCCACCGCCGCCGCCCCCGCCGCCGGGTCCGCGCATGTGGCGGCGCACACCTCCTCCATCCGAAAGTCGTAGCCGTCTGCCTCCACGGCGTCCGCCCGCGAGAACACGAAGGGCGCCCCCGTCGCCAGGTCGTAGCACGGGATGAGAACCGGCTTCAGGGCGTCTCGCAGCGTCGCGTCCCCGAACACCCGTCGGAGCAGCCCCCCCGAACGGCAGAGGAGGCCTGCCAGGATTCCCTTCCGCTGGGCGGCTGAAGAGGCGAGGCGGCGGCCGTGCTTGGCGAGCAGGCGGAGAGCTTCAGCGACAGAGAACAGGGGCCGGCCGTCGTGGCCCCGTGTGAAGAGGAGGGCGGCGAGGACTCCCCCGGCGCCTGACCCGGCTGCGAGGTCGAAGAAGTCGGCCACGCAAGCGTCGGGGTCGCCGACCTGCTTGCGGAGGGATGCCTCGAGTCGGGCAAGAGCGGCGCCGGCGAAGTCCACGCCGGCGGCGTCGATGGAGAGGACACGTACCGCGCCGGAGGTTGCGGAGCGAATGCGGGGCGCGGCGGGTGTAGCGGGCATGGAGGGGAGAAGGAGCTTGGGGTCGTCGTAGCCGAAAAGGAACTTGCTCTCCAGTATCGAGAAGATCTCGTAGCTCAGTTTGTCCATGTCCAGGCTCGGTTCCACCCAAGCAGCCGCCGCCGCCGACATCTTCCTTTCCGATTCTCTGCACGAGAAAAGGCAACTACCCAACACTAATCTCGGCTTACTTCTTCTTCTTCTTCTTCCTCTTCACTCTCTCTCTCTCTCTCGGTCTTTCTCACGGCAGCCGATCGAGACAGAGGAATGACGAGAGCAAGAGACAGAGAGAGCAGACGGGGTGGCGATGTCGGCGAGGCGTCTGCCTCGTTCGCCTCGCGGCATTTTATAGACGGGAAAGCACGTTAGATAGAATCTACTATTATTGTCCTCTCGAGGTGTCAAATGCATCTCCACTGAAGCCGGAAAACATGTTTCTCGTAGCTGTTAATACTCCCCTGCTAAATTTAGCCTCTGCAATTTTGATGTCATAACAGTGATATGACACTATTAACCAGAATTAATTAGTCAACAACCATTGGAACAATATCAGAAGACATTACTCCTTGGCAGCACAGTCTATACACACAGTTCTAATGGGTGATAGATAGATAGATTCGTAAAAGCGAAGGAGAGGAAGCGTCGAAGGCCCGTGCAAAGATAGTAGATAGGTTCGTCAAGGACGACCACTTTATTCCCCTGCCTTTATTTCTTTCTTTATGCAGCCTTACCATTTACTCAACATCTGCTTTCTATTTCCAACAAGTGTGTCATGTGAGACCCCTATTTCATATTCTGCTGTTGAACCTCAAATGACAAAAGGGATGTTTCCACAGACACCATCAACATAAAGGCAAACATTTTGCAGGATTTCTGCATCACAGGTTTGTGGAACAGGCTGGAGGATCGTGAGCAGATCAGAACCAAGCCTTGACTACCTCGTGATACTGTTTTAGAGTAGTCAAACAGTCTTAGATGGAATCGTGTCACTTTTCCGAGTCGGATTTTGTAGGAACCTCTTTGTTCTTTGGAAAATGAACTTATATTTTGTACACGACATGCATTGTTCAGCCCCACATTTGGATAATTCCTTCATCCTTTACGCTAACCTGCAATCATGTGCTTCAGGTAGGTACAGTACAGACTATGAGTGGGTTTTGGAACACTCAGCAAAAGTTTATGCTTCGGATGGAAGGTTGGGACAAGACACAGCCAGCCTCATTGTAAGTGTAAAAGAGATGGCCAAAGTCATGCTCAGTGGTCATGAAGGCAACAAGAAGAGAAACAAATTATATCTCACGGTCGAAGGACTGGGTAGAAGTAGAAATGACTCTTCTTTCATCGTAAGATTAGGCATGTATTGTCTCCAAATGGTCTCATTTTAATTTGTTGTTGTTGTTGTTGTTGTTGTTGTTGTTGCAGAATTAGTGCTTCCTCTACCCAGATTCTGGACCTTTAGGGTAATGTTGGCTTCTCTGCATCTCAAGCTTCTGACCTTTAGGTATGTTTGCAGCAGCTTTCCATGTGTTCATTCAACAAAAATAACTATGCTAATCTTATATGATTTGTCTAGCCATGCATGCCACATCAATTTTCTTATGGTTGATCCACCACTGCATCATGTTGAAGCTCCACAAAAGAGTCACATAGTGTTCTTCTTCTCCAAATTACAGCTGCAGTAGGTAAGAGACACAAACTTCGCTAGGATCTTATAGCGTAAGAACTTGTCCTGTAGATTGCTGCTAACGATGAGGAGAAATTGCAAACAAGTTTTCACTTTGCTCCAGTAAACTCACCATCTCCATCGATCATTCATGGAAGTGACATATCTACTTGCAGATGCATTCTAGGCATTTATCGTGTGTGGGCGGCCACATGCCATGCACAAATACAACCAGGGCAATGGAGATGGATTATTATCTTCATCAGTACAGTGAGATCTACCACGACCATGTCAAATATCTCTGCTTGGGGACTGTGTCGGGGAAGACGAATTCCTGCAGGGACAGGCTGGTTAGTGATTTCTTTGCCCCCATCCATTGATGCAGTCAACTGTTTCAAGCAGCAAAGATTTCTGGAACGAATCTTGGGGTGATGGCACAACATATATTTGCCTTTTTTGTCGGATTGACTATGAGGTTTTACGACATGCACTGCGGGGGAAGGGGAAGCCACAGAAGAAGCGAGTCAATTCATCTCATGCTCGGATGCAACGCAAACTGTACTCACAACAAAAGCAAAGGAGAAAGAAAAGCTACATCATAGCTGTGGTGGTCGAGGAAAGCGAGCTGTGGTGTCTGAAGCTTCAAAGCTTTTGCCCCCAAACAAAACTCTGCCACACAAGGCATTTATGCTTATGATATCAGGTGGCGTGATGTCTCTGTCCCGAGATCTGGGGTGTCTGTCTCCAGATCTGGATCGCTCTTCATCGTCTTCGACCTCTCCCTGTTGCCCTGCAATCTACAGAGGTCAATTCGACTACGAGGACCCGGGTGTCGTCTCAAGGTGAAACATCTCTACCACTCGTGACAGAGAGGGCGAGGAGGACTGCAGGCCAGCTAACCCTAGCTGGTGCCATGGGGCTGCGCGTGCACGGGCGCTTTGGACATTGCGTGATGTAGGATACGGATCTACGGAAGCGTCTGTCAAATGTTCCAATGATTGCAACCTATCATTAGAAGTCGATGCCCACTTTAAAGGACTGCATGCGTGCGGGAAAGATGGCATCCTTGAGCTGCTTAAAACGAGGTAAAAGATGATGCCCTTGAGCATGGATCGAGTTACTTCTCGAGCATTGATGGAATCTGGAATCTGACATGTGTTGGAGTCCATTAAGTCGAGCTTAACCGAGAAAGGAGGGAGAAGATCCCCTGCACAGGTAGCGGAGAGAAGAGGGAGGTTTCTTCGATCGTCTCCCTTCTTGTTTTGGTGGCTCCGACACCCCTGAAACCATCAGGGGTTGACGATACCCATACCCATGATGGATGGGTCCCGACCCACACGGATGGTAGGTCCCACGCTTCGGGTCGTGGGTTTTGATAAGCCCATGCGGGTTTAATGGGCCGGGCTCGAAACGGACCGAGACCCGAAACAAAGACGGGCATACAGACGCCACCTCGTCCCGCTTCCCGGTCCGGGAACCCTAAACCCTCCACTCCCGTTCTCTCCTACGGTTATTGGTTCCTCGAGTCGTTCTCGCACCGTTTCTTCTCTCTTCCTCTGTTGTTCCTGAGATCCAGATCTTTTGCGCGAGAAGGAGATGGCCGCGTACGTAACCCATATCCCCTCCTCTTCCTTTGATCCGTTTGGAACTAGCTAAGAGTTTGATGTTTTTGTTTGATTCTTGCGTTTGGATTGATGTTTTTTTTGGTTGTTTGATGCTTGGTTCTACCTAATAGATGGGCGCTAGTTGCTTCCACCGATTGTTTCTATGGATCTGTGTCAACTTGTTCAAGATCCGCAGTTTGACGGAGAGAAACCAGAGAAAAGAGCGGGGGAATGAGTCTTTTAGATAACATGAGGAGAGAAATCAAAATTTCCATATGACTTTTCTTTATTTTCTTGTTTCTCTCTCTCTCCCTCTTCCGTTCTTTCCTATTTTGCCGATGCTATGCTCTTTTTTGCCCTTCTGCTGCTTTTTGATGTGTTCTTCGTCTTCATTCCTTATGCATCCTTTTTCATCCTCTCTATCGTTGTGCTACTGCTTTTTTTTTATTGCAATATGTTACTGGAATCTGTGGTTTCACATTCTTTTTTTTCCTTTAATTTGTTGTTGATGCTTAATGTTCTCTGTTTTCGGCTGTTGTTTTGATTATGTTTCTGTGATGTGTTTTTCTAGCTGCAATCTCTTTTGCTTCCGTGACGCTGAGTTGATATATCCAGTATGATTATATCTTTTGTTTCTCGTTCTTTATGCTAATTGTGAGGAGCATGATGCCCTTCTTCTGAAACAGGAAATATTATTATTTTAGTTTGTTTATAAGCCTGAACTAATGTCTTCATTATCTGTACATTATTGAACAGCAAAGAATTATCCATTCTGGGTTCTTATAATTTTTTTTTTTGTGTTATCATCCTTTGTTTATCATCCTCATTTCAGTGAGGTGTGTATCTGGTGCACCTCAATTTAATAACTTACAGAAGCCGAACAGCAGTTTTGCAGACTATCACAGGTGGGATCACAAACTTGTACTTGGTAGCTGATCTTATTGTTCTCCTCTCCTGGCTTAATTGGATCGACCTTGCTTAACCAACTTACTTGCCTGACCTGGTCCTTGAAGTTCAGTTTCATTAAATACAGCTTTTCTTGTCTACTACTGTTTCAATTCGACAGCAATCTAACCACCACAGTTCTCTTTTATGGTTTTTTTTTCTTTTTAACATGTGTAATGAGCCTTCATGTTAGTTGTATTGTTGACACTGCTGTAACTTATTTGCAATGGTAATAGCTGAATTTACTGCTTGATAAGTCATTGTTCATTTTAGTTGATGATATTTTGTCATATACCCCTGAATAAACTATACTTGCTTTGAATTTCATTTTTTTTTCTAAAGCATTAGTTATTTTCCAGTATTTTATTTTGACTTGTTTCTTATTATGCGTGTCATGTCATTTAAATTTGCACAGGCGTTAAGCATATACCTTACATGTTGTTGTATACCCACTTAACTGTTATAGACTCTCCCTGTGGTTATCAGTGAAGATGCTGAAAAATCTGCTCCAGTTCTTGGAGAACCCATGGATTTGATGACCGCTCTCCAACTTTTGACGTAGAAATCATTGGCTCATGATGGGCTTGTTCGTGGGCTCCATGAAGCTGCCAAAGCAATTGAGAAGCACGCAGCACAGCTTTGTATTTTGGCCGAGGATTGCAACCAGGCCGACTATGTCAAGCTAGTCAAAGCGCTTTGTGCTGATCATAACTTGCATCTAGTCACGGTGCCAAGTGCCAAAACCCTCGGTGAGTGGGTAGGGGTTAGTATCTATTGCATATCTATAATTCCTTTTTCGATACTTTTACTTAGGGAGTCTTTAGTTGCTTAAAATATTAATGGAGAATGATTTTTTTTGGGGGGGGGGGGCAACATTAGTTATTGATGGTGGGAAAACAAAAACATTTTAGAAAACCTTCTTCCAGACATGTAGGAAATTTATTCTTTTGTATTCTGATTTTTTTTCCTCTAGAAAATGATAGGAAATTGGGCTGTGGAATAAAAACTTATTTTTTTCTTGGGCTGTAATAAGGACTCTTTGGCTGGCAAATTGCATATCACCTTTTATTCTCTTGTCGAGGCATAGAAGTTTGCAGCCGTTTGGCTTTACTTTATTTTGCGGTACTGACTGCTTGTGTCATGCTCTGCCCTAATGTGTTTTTCCGAAATTGATGCTTGGAATGCAGCTATGCAAGATTGACTCAGAGGGAAAGGCCAGAAAAGTTGTGGGTTGTTCGTGTGTGGTAGTCAAGGTACTGCCATCACTTGAAAAGCAGTCTTTATACATGTAATTTGGTTATCATCTTTGGTCATGATGCTACATTCTGTTGATGCTCTTCAACAGGATTATGGTGAAGAATCAGAGGGCCTTCACATAGTTCAGGAATATGTCAAGTCCCACTAAGCTTTACATCTATCGAATTGGGTAATACAGTAATCTGTTTCTTTTGGATCTTAAGAGGCAGGTTGCCAACAACGCAATCCAGAACACCATTTAAATCAATTGTTGAACTTGGAACATTGCCTTGTCTTGTCTGTTTAGTTGTGCTGTGGAAGCTGTTCACAAGCATTAGGCTTTCGAGTTTTTCATTGACCCGAGCTAGTCCAGGCTATATCTGGTTAATTGATAGTGCCAGTTATAGATGCAAAGTGACTTTGTATGTTGTGAATTGCTTTGGACATTTTGCTGCGTAATTAATTATTCATTCATCTTTGTGTTTTGCAATGTCTATTTGTTTAAATGTCTGAATGTGTGATTGCTGGACCTAAAAATTTTATTAATCATCAAAGTTGTACCTTTAAACTAAACAATACATCATCTTTCTGTTAGGATCGATATTAAATCAGTAAGTAATGACAAAGAAAAGCAAGAAAAGGATGCAAACCAATTTATAGTAGTTCCGTCATCCTGACGTTTCTCCACTCTTGATTTCTCTTCCCTCGAAGTCATTGACTTTCACTATCGACTTTCTTTTCGATGGGCGAAGATCAACTACTCTTGTTACAATCCTTCTTCTTTTCACAGGCTTAAGAGAGAACCTTTACACCTTTTTTTTTCTTTTATAAGGCTTAGGAAAGAACCTTTATACCTCTTTTTTTCACAAGATTTCACACCTCCTTAATATAATCTCTACACTCAAGGAGGAAAAGACAATACTTTTCAAGAGAGTTTACATACTTCAGTTCATAATATTCAAGCAAGCATAAGTGAGATATTTATATACCATAAATGATTTCAAAAATGAAGTTAAAAATTTAAATCCTTGAGTTTTCAAGGTACTAGTGGTAGTACCGTCGGGATCAGGCGTCACTACCGTCGAATAGAGCCTAATAATTTGGGTTCTGACTATACCACCATCACCTTGGGTGGTACTACCACCGGCACTAGCGGTGCTATCACCGACACTAGTGGTACTACTGTCGAACTTCCCAGAAAAGCGCAACCCATGCTTTTCGGTTCTCAGGTGGTACCACCTCTTGGGCCTAGTGGTACTAATGCTTGGGCCAACCTTAGGTCACTGAATCGACTCTCAACCCTTGTAGCCAGGGAAACTGGCCGCCTGGTTGCTTTATGGGGCCAGGAATCCTGGCTGCCAACGTTGTCCTTACAACTAGGAAACCCTGGCTGCATGGGCTGCCTTTGGCCAGGCCGAGAGCAACAAGGTGTGCTCTCGGCCAAGGTTGTAAGTAGCCTTCGGCCAAACCGCAAGGCAACAATAGTTACTGCTCTTTTTCTTCTATTTCGCAATAATAATTTTGACGACAACACATTGATCTCAAGAACCTTTTAATAGAGAGAAAAGGTATAGTCCAAATTTGAAATCTACGATAAAAAATTATAGCAATCACGCAAAAATAATTCTACGTAATTCAACACAATACACGTAGTTTAAAAACTAATATTTCGCATGAGCAACCTAGCTCTAATACTACTATTGGGAAATATGGGACAGCATCACATGCACGCAAAAGAATAGAAAATAAAATCCCAAATTTTTCACAGAAAAAGTTTCTTATCGTCGTGCGAAGGTTAGTGCGTAAAAACTTACAAAATCGAAAACTGCGCATATATAAACGATATGTTACTTAGAGAGATCGTATATCCCTAAAAACCTATAAATCTATGAGAGAGGATGAATAAGGTCAACTGTCCTCATCTCTACTGGTGATCCACATGGTAGATGCGGCGAAGATGCTTCTTAAATCGATGTACGATCTTCCTCTCCACACACATCACATGATCAAAAAGGGACTTTTGATTTGGTATCATAATATGATGTGTCACATACATGTATATTTAATATATATCTACATCGCATTTAAATAGATATACATATCTAGTAAGTGTATAATTAATCATACATTACATGGGCAATCATACCAGATGATCATGGACCATAGTCTAATATGATCAAGCTCGAGCTAGTGGGCCCAATCACTCATATTACGATATATGTGTGCAATAATGCATCTTCATGCCCTATGATCATCCATCTCGTCCTCATCAGTTTCGTCGACATCTTAGCGCATCTTCATGCGTTGCAATCGTTCATCTTGGCCTCATGGGTCCCGTTGTCGCCTCCACACTCCCGCTATACCTCCTCGTGTAATTACAACATAATCACAAGCACGTAGGCCCAATAATAAATAAGAAAAAAAATAAAAGCTCATGGGCTCCAATAATAATAATAATAATAATCACATCATAATACATATATATATCACATCACACGGTCCATGATCATCCGTTTACATCACACATCACATATACACATTACCATGTAGGACTACTAGATAATAATAATTAATTAAATTAAATTATTTAATTAATTATTTTGTAGCTTTATGGGTGCCTTATTCTATGGTGCCTATGCAGTTAGGAAACCTGACCACTAGGGTTACCCTTGTAGTCAGAAATCCCTGGTCTAATGACTACCTTGGGCAGCCAAGAATCCTTGGCCCCCCCTCTACAACTAGGAAACCTTGGCTGCAGGATAGTCATGGGCAACCAAGAAACCCTAGCCGCCAGTTTGCCCAATGCGACCAGGAATCCCTGGCCGTAGGGACTCCTAGGCGGCTAGATAACCCTAGCCGCCACCTATAGGGTAGCAACAATTGTTGCCCTTTCTCCCTCTTTTACGTCAACATTTTTTATGTCAAAAGGCCTCTCTATAACATTTTATAACAAAGGAAATAGGTGCGGTCTAGATTTGAAAATTACGATAAAAAATCACAATAATTGCATAAAAAAAATCTACGTGATTTAACAACACATGCAGTTTAAAAATCAATCGTCGCACAAATCAACCTTGCTCTAACACCATTGTTGGGAAACCTAGACAGAACATTACATACGTCGTAGAAGAACAAAAAACAAAAATCATGGATTTTCTAAAGAAAAAGCTTCATCGTCGTGTGAAGATTGGTGTGCAAAACCGAAAACGTAAAAGTAAAAACTACACATGTCAAGACAGATTTGTTACTTAGGGAGATCGTATATTCCTATAAAATCTTAGATCTGTAGGAATATATAAAGAATGTCAACTGCCCTCCTCTCTAGCAGTGATCCACATAGTAAATGCGATGAAGATGTTTCTCAAATCGTTGCATGATCTTTTTCTCCACGTGTACCACATGATCAAGAAGGAGTCAATCTTTCTTGTTGTCCATACACCCCAAACTAGGGCTATCGATTGAGAAGGAGAGGGAGGAAGGAGTCAATCTTTCTTGTTGTCCATACACCCCAAACTAGGGCTATCGATTGAGAAGGAGAGGGAGGGAGGAGTATAGGAGGAGACAATCAAAAGGGGTCTAGCCTATGCCCTTTTGAGACATGGAAATGCCATTGAAAGTCACAATGTCTACTTTAGATTGAAACTTAGCTTTGATACTACAAATGTTGGGGATGGAGGAGCAAGGAAACGATAAAAATCGAAAACTACGACGTGATTAAAAGATAATACTTTCAATCAAGAAAATTGATGTAGTATTAAATAAGAGGCAAGATTTTGAACACTTACAAGATATTTCCAAATGCACAGGGGGAGCAAAGATGAGGGCAATGATGGTCATGTGCATGTGAGGGGGGTGTGTGTTGATGACACGATGACAATATCGAGCAAGGGCAAGGGCACGCTCAAGGGATTTAACGATCGTTACGAAAACTCGACGAAGGAGATAATCATTTAAAACAAAGGTAAAAAGATAAAAAAAAATAGTCGAGAAAAAGACCAGAGGTAAAACGATAAAGATGGTTAAGAAGAAAGTCAAAGGAACGCTCAGCAAAAATAAAAATAAAAAAAAGATTTGTTTGAGAAATTTGCCAACTATCATCTTCCCGCATTAAAAACAATTTGCAGGCTGTTGGACATGCCATGGTGTACTTATTTGCAGGCTGTTGGACATGCCAACAACAGGGCAGAGTTGCCAGATCATCTGCATCCTTCCTAGATTTTTTTCTTCCCCATGGAACCATCGCAGGTCCTTTTCTTACCCTTTCTTTCGACAGAAAAGACACCTCTTCGCCTTAGATACCGCCGATGTCAGCGTTACGGAGACGAAGAAGATCAAAGGAAAGATCTCCATGGAGACCACAAGGATTTGATTTCATCAAAATTCACACTTATCAACGAAAAAAACAGAAATAAAAAAAAGCACATTGAGAAAGATACTACTTTCCGAGCATAAAGTGGTCAAAGCAGATGACATCTGAGGCCTCTGTGCCCACCCACCCATGGATACGAAAGGAACAACAGAATCATCATCAATGTTTTGATGAAAGGTGAAAGCAGCTGCCATGGATGAAGACATGCTGAGTGGCAGTCGATGGAGGCCACATCCTGCTGCTGCTTCATGTGTCAAACACAGTGCGGATGGTGAGCTATACAAAACCGACACAGCACAAGAACTGAATCGAAATCAATGATTCACTTACCTCTTGAAAAGGACAGCAGTGGAGATAATGCAGGACAGTCCATTTGGGCAACCCGAAGAGAGGAGGGGGAGTGCAACTTCCAGCACTCAAGACAGGGCCCCAGAAATATAATCTTTTGTGGTTCAGATCTGGATGTCACTCTCTAAAACTGGGGCAGAAGATGATATTAGTGGAAAGAACTTTTCCCCTGTCAGCAACCTGAATGGAAACAGTTCACAGGCAATGCAGAGGAAAGGAATTGGATAAAGCAACTAGGTCAGGAATATATGTATGCCACAGCCTACGCTCACATACAAGTTCAGAGTACTGGAATTGTATACTCTCATTATGAGAAAATAGTATATGATACAATTATTAGAGATGCAGAAATTAAGCTAGCTTACTTGGCGCTTCATGAGCACCTCAGACAAGAAAATGCAGCAAAAGATGGGATGGATGGGATGATTGCGAGCCTGTGAAGATTCTGATTTCATTTTTCAGTACTCCAGTGTCCCGACAGATGCGATCCCGGTGCTCACAGTTCTCGAATCCTGCCGGTTGATGTAGTCGTCACAACTATTATTTGGGAGCCGTTTGATGCAAGTTGAGTTAAGGAATTCAACACTCTGCTTGCCCATTTGCTGCACTTCCTGTGGCGAAAGTATTTTGATGCACCACACACTGTTCACAAACTCCCTGGAGAAGGCATAATCATGAAAAAAATGTCAGAGAAGCACACTTGAGATGTGAAATCAAACTAGAATCTTAAAAGTTGTGGTCAATATCAAAATCTTGAACTCCGATCTAGTTGCTATTAAGAAAATGCAATAGGTACGGTGGTAAAAATTCTGAACAGAAAAAGATGATCTTGTCAAAGTCAGTGAAGTATGACCATAAGATACGAAACAGTGTTACATAATAATGACATGATCAGAATGGACTTACTGCCAGGGATCGTCGCCGACCAGAAGAATGTCATTCTCCCTGTCGACAAATACAAGCTGCCAGCCTGATCTCAAAGGGTCTTCTAACTGACCTTCTAGGCCAAACAAATGACCAAGCTCACTACGCAGCTCATGGTAGCTGCTAAACTTGGCAATGTCCAGTGACCTTCCCAAAGACCCTGATTTATAAACCTGTAATTGCAAATTATACTGATCAGCTGACTTCAGGAGACAGTTCAACTGGCAATCATGTTCTTATCATGTAAAATGACTAACTGGAAGAGTTGGATAACTAATTTTAATACTTCCCAGCAAGTTTGTTTAATGACCAGTTAATAATCTTTCCATCTGTGCAAGTTTTACCAAGCATCAAGTCACTTTGTCAAAAGATGATTTAGGTTAGATCCATTAAACAATGAAGCAATAATTCTCAAATGCTTTTACAAGCAACTGAAGGAAACAAATATTCTATTAAATATCATGCATGTGTACAAAGAGTGAAAAATCCCAAAATGACCATATTAATCATTGAAACTAAATTTAGGCATGTAACTAATGAATGAGAGTGTTTTTTTCCCATTATTTTCAAATGAAAAAAAAAAACTCATTCATTTGGTGTTCACTTATGGCATTTTTATTAAATTCTCAGAATATGTAATTTTCGAGTAAGTTTTGCTGTTAAAAAAGATTCAAACCAGAGAACAGCAAAATTAACTTGAGGTCAACGAGGATAAATCACTGACCTTAACAGAGGTTCTACTTTTTGGGTTTAATGAATCCACATTTTCAGGGGAATGCAGAAATCCAGCTTCCTCTAAACTATTGGAACCAGTCAATGTTTGATTCAATGCAAAATCATTTCCCGAGGAAGCCACAAAATTGCTAGCAGCATAGCGAATGTTCATTGAATCAGTCTCATTTCTGATATTGCTTAGGTTTGCCATACCATTCTGCACTAAAAGTGGTGAGGAGTCAATGTTAACACCAAACAAGAGATGATTCTGGCCATCCACGTTACCATCTTGATCCACCATGCACTCTCTTCCAGGAAATGGTGGTAATGTAACAGAACGCTGAGCAATGTTAGGTTGTGATACGCCTGATTGTTCCACTCGTGGCAGCACACATTGATCACCAGAAGGGAGCATTGACTCAATTGCCACCCGCTTTGAGGGCCAGGGACTTGAGGTAAATACTTGGTTGCCTCTTGACCAACTATGTAGATTTGATGCATCCTCTGGAGACAATTGATGCAAAATATCATGCAGCGAGGAGGCATTCGATGTTCGGACAAAGTTACCATTGGAGTTGGAAAAGTTCTGTGACTGGGAAAACGACAAAATATTTTGCAATGCAGTTGAAGGAGATTGTGATTCAGAGATAAGTTCAGGCAAGGCTGACATTCCAGTGCAAACTTGTTGAGTAGACAAAAACTTCTGCTGTTGTATTTGTTGATGATGCAGTGTTTGCTTCTGCTGCGGCAGTTGCTGCTGCGAAATTTCTTGCTGGTGCTGCTGCTCACCAAATGAGTATTCCTGCCGCAACTGATGCTGAAGAAATTCAGCTTGAGACTGGCTTTGCACCTGGTTTATTTGAATATCCTGAAGAAAGGTTTGAGGAGGTTGAGATTGACCATGCTCTAGGACCTGACTTGGAAGCATAGGAGATGTTCTGGTGGTTATGTTCTGAGTTTGCTGGAAAGGCAGCACTGAAGGTGATATTAGTTTTGTAGTCTCCGTGGTCCTCGTTTCCTGAAGTCCTGCTGCAGCCATTGCCTGGTACATGCCAGGCTGCAGACCAAGTATCGGAGTATCAAAATTTGGCTGCGTCCAAGGTGTAACACCTATACCCTGAAAATTCAGTGACTGAAGTCCTGTATTTCCACCATTTTGAAGCCACAATAGAGGTGAATTCAGACTGATATCATCCTTTCCACCTAAATTGGAAAGACCATTAAGATGAATGGCAATACAGCACTAAAAATAATGAACAATACAAAATATAAACATATCATTATAGCTGGAAAAAACTGGTGAAGGCCTTTCTGCTGTAATTATTTTTGTACACAACAAGAAATCATAAAGTATACCGTAGAGTGAGGGCAATCCAGTAGGCCATGGACGCTTAAGCCTGAAAGGAAAAGGAGATGGATACATTGGAAAGGTTGTCAAAGGCTCAATTTCCCAGAGTGATACCCTGGGCTGCCTTTGTCCAGCTGTTGACTCATCCCAGCCAACCTGAATAAAATGAGAACCAGGAGTTTAGCCAGGACAGCAGCAAATCTTTATGTTCTCCAAGCAGATTTTGCAAAGTTCCATAAGACAGACAGACAGGTGTAAACCTTCAACATTTATTCAGAGACGAACCCTTTTGATTAAAAAATTGATATTGCAGAAAGATTTACCTTCACAGAGCGCCAGTGTGAATTTGGCCAACGGACAGGGTCAAGATCACTGATCCCTGTAATTGTGCCCATGTATCTGATAAACAAAAGAAGAAATCATCATGAGTGGCATATTATGGAATGGAATGTCAAAAATCTATCCTGAATAAAAACTTGTGTATGCAGTAACAACAAAGGGAACAAGAAAAGATTATCACAATACTTGAAGGGAACGATAAAAGATTATCACGACACTTGGTGATGCAACTAAAATATGTATGCCAAGAACCTAAATTAACAGGATTGGCAGGTAAACTCAAACTTACCGTCGAACGCTTGACTCTTCTGTTTCAAAAAGCATCCGGAAACGCATACCCACAGAAACACGTGTGTGATGAACAGCCTTAACATATTTAGCTAGTGGGATAACAAATTCAGAAGGGCTTGCCCTGAAAGAATATGATATAACATTAATCAAAGTCAAACAAGCATAAGACAGATCTTTGAGCTGTGCCAGTTTACCTTGGGTTGTAAAATATAGTAAACCGGCTGTTTGTAGCAGCAGCATGAGCAGCTGCAGCAAGAAGCCCTATGTGCATGCTATCACTAGACAGTACAGATGAAGGCATAACTGTTTGTGGTCTATTAGCACGCCGAATTCCCAGAAGTAACTGATTGTTATCATTCCTATCAAAGCAAAAAACTTAGTATTGAGATTAAAAGACAATGCCAAAAAAAGTTAATTGTAATAGTACCATATAAAAAGTACAGAATCCCCTGCAACGAGTCTTTTTGCACTCACGAACACACTCCATCCTGTTGTAAGAAGATGCCTCTTCGGCTGACCTGCATCAGGAAAATGATAATGCCCTCAGTGATTAGGATATAATGTCACACATGCAATACAGGCTAAAAATCTTACTTGAAAAATGTGCATGAGCTACAAGTATTACCAAATTTTGGAAGCTGTTGTTCAGAATTTAGAACGCACTAGCAGAATGAAAATGAAAACACATAGCATCTAAAAGTTGTATGTCAGAAAAGGTAAGACAGGTCCACCATGTGATTAATATGCATTCCTTGCTATTGAGCAAATACTTGCTAAAGAAATTGAAGTCTAATTCTTTTATTATGATCCACAATAATATTATAGCAGCAAATAGTTTGTGTATCTCTACCACAGAACATCTGCTGTTGGAATTAGGTCACTGTTTTTGTAAGTTCAATTATATCCATTTCGAACTTCCTTCCATTTCTAAATTCCCCGTCTGTAGATTTCAATCCATGTAACTGCACCGCATGGTATCTGCACCCCGATTCTGTCAACCAAGATAATTTCCTCCACACATGTTCTCAAACATTGCTCACACTTGTCAAAATTGTTCTCTGCAAACTTATTCTCTAAGCCACCCCTAACAGCAGCATGAACTCTCTATTGGTCTCAAACTTCTGGTAGAAGTACCTTTCACACAAGATCAAGATGTGCATTATTGGTACGAGAGCTTTGGTTCAACCTTTATTAGTGGTAAAGAAATATAAGATTCTGTGGAACATGTTAATGTAATGCTGTCGATAGCCCATTGGACAACATATGAATTATGACTAGCAAAGTCTGAGACCATTCACTGATAACACATACCTCGGAAGATGTGGCGGAACTTCCACTCGTTACCATGGAGATCTTTTGCAATCAATTCTTGTGCAGGAGGCTGCTGTGAAAAATCCTACAAGAGCAACATAATTTGAATAAGTATAAGAGGATCAGATATTTCTGTTCTAGATTCATCATATCTATCATTTATTTTGTGTATTGAATTCCAATTCAAACTTGTCATAGCAAGAAAAATCTACCAATGGAGGGAACACTTTTTCTGCTGCTCGGCGGGGAACAGAGAATCCACCATGTGTACTGGTGTCGCTCGCAGTTAATGTCTTACAGAAATAATTGGTAGGTTGTTTACACGGTGTACCCATTTCAGTTATTAGATAAGGATCCTTTTGCTCTTGCTGCAGAATATGATGCAAAGTTATGCAACCAAAAGGATATTCAAGTGCAACATAGTAAGACATTGAAAGCGAAGATACAGTTCATTACAGGGCTTAATGGTTGCAACGTCATCTGGCCATAAACTTCATCTGTTTCTACATCTGCCTGAAGAGGACAGACATTCATAGATAAGAAAATGATCATGTAATTAGAAACAGTGACAAGTATCTAAAAGGAACTTACATGCATAGTAACATTATGCAGCTGACAAACCAACTGAGGAGGTAAGCTTGGGTAGCTGGGGAGTGAATCAAATTCCTTGTTGGTTGATGCAGCAACCTTCAGAGAGAATATAAATTAAATAGCATCCCTTGAAGCATAAAGATGACATGTTCCACGTGTTATGACCAAAAAATGCTCATCAAATAAAACTCAAGAAGTCAAGTTCAGAACACTGGCAGATTATTGTATTGCTTAGTGCCTTACAACAAATTAGAAATGAGTAAATATCTGACCTGTTCGCTGTGGCCCTGTGGGAAATATACCACCCGACTTCCAACAGAAGGTAATGAAACTAGTGGTCCAGCACAAGCATGCCATAATTCCGAATTCAGACATACCTGTTCTTCTGCTTCTAGTGCCACAATTATCAATTACCAAAATGAGAATAAAGAAAACAAAAAGAGTAATAATGGGTGAGAGTGAAGTTTACAGAAACACAGTGATTAGGAAATAACAACTCATTTGCAGGTTGGAAGATACACACACACTGTTGTTTACACATAGTAGTTTCCTTGGTTCTTTTGCCAAACATAATTAAGAAAAAGATGAAGTAACTATAAACTCTGAAATAATCACTAATTTCTCTTTTTGTTACTGAACACATGGAAGTCTATTCATAGAAAAAGCCTCACATTTAAACTTGGTGTTTAACCATCTAAATAAGCATGCCTCTTTAACAGCTCAGGAAAATCTTTTAGTATCTTGTCTATGATATATTGACTGTCAAGAAATGAAGGTACAGGTATCGAATCCAACTTCTGCATTTGTGGTCTATCATACAGGGAAGCTGAAGGTAAGTCTGATTCATGTCATCATAAACATCCTCTTAAACAATAGGTAGAACATTATACTTGCCATTCAGATAGCTTTTTCAAGTTGGTTTCAAGCCTTGTTTGATTTTACTTGAAACAGATGGCTCTAGGAATACGCAGAAAAAATGTTATGTTTTAAATAGAATGGCTCTAGTTTGGCACATAGAGAAGTTTGGTCCTATGAATGTCCTGAGACGAGAAAAAACAAGGGTTTAACTAGTTTGCAGACCATAAATTGAGAATCATACATATCCGATGAGATAACCTACTGGGGGTAAAAGACAACTAATAAAATAAAAAATTGAATTAGAAGGCCCCATCCTATGCATGCAAAATTGATTTTTCTGATGAATTGGAGAACGATGAAGAATTTGATTGTAGCTCTTAGCTCAACAACAGACATCAGAAACACTACAGATTCCAGGATAAGACAAATGCTGAACCTTCCAAGTTCCCACAGATCAGAGGTCTCTAATGCTTCAGCAGCAAAGACCAAAATTTCAAGAGGGAACCCTATTCATTATCGATGCACATTTCCAGGTCGAAAATCTCAGAACACAATGATAGGAAGCTGAAGAATGCAGAACCAAGGGAGGAATCATCATGAACAAAGATTAGAATATACATAAGTATCTGAAGCTTCCAGCAATAAGGCACATCCGTAAACAGAAATTTCTGGGCTAAACAACAAAAAAGAGGAAAAAGCCAAAAAAAAACTTACCTTCGTTCTGCTGATTGCCCAGACCTCCTGACGAGAGCCTCATCTCCTGTACTTAATAGAGCGCTTGCAGCAACTGGAACCACACCACCGTCAAGCCCAGGACTGAAGTTGCTACCTTCTCTTCAAAGCATAACAAAACCTTTGGGTAAGAGATGCAACAAACACTGGCCGTTCTCTTTCACACAGAAAACCCATTTTCTTAAATTTTAATGCGCGAAACACATTCCTCTATTATTATTAGTATTTAGTAGTAGTTTTCACCCTCGCCAAAAGCCTCTACCCTTCAATTCGTATGGAATCCATGCAACACGGAAAAAAGGTGGACACTAACTGGCATAAAAACCCCAAGAGAAACGGATGCGATTAATTCAAAGCCAAGTCTACTGCAAGAAATGTGCTCTCCCAGTATCATCAGTTCCAGAGCTGAACTATGCAAGCCCTAGCAAAAGAAGTCGCAACTTTGACATCAAGAGATAATTCTTTTGACGTTTACGAAAAACACCAAAGCCGTAAGAAACGTCAAATATCCTTAATATAGACGTCGCGGCGTCTCAGCTTATCAGAATTCTAAGCAAATCTCCTCCTCCATCGTCAATCGACAACCGCCAGGTTCTCGGACTACATATACGGTCAACGAGCTACAAATCAGATGAACAAAAACATCCCAACGGACCAAAGAAACCCATCTGAAACCCCTTATCAACGAAGAAATTGACTCGGCTGAACCTCAAAATCCCAAACCAAGCTCAAGTTTAGATCAGAAGTAATATTCGAAAACCTCAAAACCTGATGATATCAGCAGAAACATAATCAAAATCCAAGCATCCGAGACGAAAGCCCCAAGGGAGGAAGTAGAGATCTCACCTCGGTAACTCCCTTTTCAAGCCGGACCAGCACTAACAGCATCGCAGCACCAAAAAAGGCGCCCTTTTTCTGCAATAGACGTCGATGCCAACCCCGATCCTCCTCCGATCTCCGCCTCGAACCGCAAGAACGAGCTCGGTTCCCAAGAAACTCGAACGCAGAGCTCCGTCGGAGAGCCTAGCGCGAGTTCATCCTCCCCAGGTGTCTCATCCGGAACCCTAGGTAGCTCAGCTCCCCGCCGCCGGGAACCCGCGCCGGATTCCGGGATCTCAGTGGTTAAAGAAGCATTTGCGACGGAACAGCGGCATCGCCCAACGATCCTTCCTGTCGAGGGAGCAATCGAAGGCCGGATACCGCCTGCTTGCTCGCCCGCCCACTTGGATGGAGAGCTCCGAAGAGAGTTCGAGGCGCCTCGTTTCAGGCTTTAACATGAACAACAGTAGCGCGAGATGGGAGGCATCGCTTATTATTATTTCTCTTCGTTACCGCACTAACAGAAAAAGGACGGAAGAAGGATTAGGGTGAGATCAGTTGTGTTTGGGTTTGACCTTCTCGCCGCTGAAGCGAGTCGTAGTCTTCCCACAACCGTTCACATAGAAAGGCACAGGTAGTAGTATTGCTACATGCACACACAATATTCGCATGTGATGGTTTATTCTACGGTGATGTGACGCTCGCTTTGTATCACGTACCATATAGAAGATTCACATGTTTCGACTGAGATAGCTTGGGCTCTCTCTCGGTTGACTGCATGAGCTTCCATCGAGCGGCAATGCGGCATCCGTGAACTGAGGAGGAGGACTCGATGTGGTCTCGCGATCGACCAATAGAAGAGTTTGGATCTTGATACTCGATGACCATAGCTTATCACATTAAACAATGTGCCTCCTCCTACATTTTTGTAGATTTGGTCGGATCCAAGACACGATGTTTAGTTGCGGTACTTGATGGAGCTGACCTGCTTCCTGCAGCCACTGTAGCACGAGAAAGCCCACGTCGAGGCACCAAACTCCGACAGCATCCATCTCTCAACTCGATGGTGGTGAGGCAGCCTCTCATGTCGGCACAACTCTTCTCCTTCGTGCCTGCCAAGGCAGTGAGCCCCACTGTACCAGCAGCCATGGACCACGGTGTCACAGACTTGGGCGAAGAACTGGTCCTTCGCCCCCACACCTTTTTCAGGTCTGTGTGTTACACATGCCTTCCTCCCCTCGCACAACCCAAAAGCAAGCAGCACCTGCGTTTCTCAGCTGTCCCAACTCGGGAACGAACTCCAGGAATCATCCCCAAGTCACCCCATTCATTCGACTTCGCTGCATGCATACCTTGGAGTCCTCGGCGTCCACATGCACCGCGACCTCTGGCCTCGGCCGTGGCCGTGGCCGTGCCGAGACCGGGGAGGGCCCATCGCTGATGGCTGCATCACCTGAATCATCGTGTGATTCAGCTGATGCTATTCGTGTGGTGGTCGTAAGGCCGTGCTCGTTACAGGCTGGGTGATGATCCAGTGATTAGACTCCCTCACATGCGCATTGTGCAGGAGAGCCGTCGTCGTCACGTCATGCATCCAAGACTCCAATCCTTTCGTGTCCGTATGGAACTTCAATTATCTGGGTACCACAAATCCTTTTCCCTTGCGCAGCTTCCACCGGTGCAATGAGTCTACATTTATCCTGGCCATAGCATTCGGTCGGAGTGGTACTATTGACGACTTCGAAGGAGGAGTTGGAAGACATGGAAGATGCAGTCATTGTCCAATGTTCTGTCAGTAGCCATCGGAGTTGTCTTCCCCCTCGCCTTATAATAATAATGTCAGTCACAGGGCACCGAGGAATCTGTGGCCACATGCAGTCACGAACCAAAATAATGCAAGCTTTTACCTATTTTTCCGGACCCCTCACGAAGAGGGATCTAAGAGGCATCCTTTCCTCAATCAATGGAATGTCACTTCCTATTACTTTAGTGCACGAGAAGAGACATCTACGAAGGCCACTTGCTATGCTGCCTTTATTGGAGTTTTCCCAAGATGTGTACGCATAACTAATTGACCGACTGACTTCTTAAGAAACATCTCTTCCTAGAAACTCAGCAACCAGCAGTCTGTGGTAATGGCTTGATCGGATACACAGGTGGAAGATAAGCGAAGCACTCGGACGTGCACGACAGACCATCGCACTCACTGGTATTTCTCGTGAAATCGATGCTTCGACATGCAATTCTTTTGCAGCATATCGGATGTGCATGATGTTTAGTGCTTAATTATCGATGAGTTTAGATTTAAACCAGATGAAATTAACCACTTCTCAAACATTATCCATGCAATTCTTCTGCTTCTGGAGTGCAAAATCTTCCTACCACTGTTGTAGTACTATTGAAACTGGTAAGCTCTTTTCCCTGTCTGCTGCTACTCGATCTATCGTTCTTAGTGGCATGTGGTGCATGAATTGTGTGCCTTAAGTTTCAACTGCAGAAGGAGACCTCATGATGTTTACCGATACCCACACAGAGATGACATTCAGAATGGGACTTGGTGACAGGTTTAGCCTGCTTCAAGACAAGTACACACACATGCTACGTTAGTATAATGATCACCCAACATTATATATGCCACGAGATCTTCTAGCATCGAAACTTTCAAGCTAGAGAGCTATACTTGAATTATCAGATTAGCAACAGAAAGTGAATGGAGCGTTCATTTTTCCTTCATGGTGGCTGTAGTTTCAGCAAAAAGGAAATGAAACATAACCATCATGGGGTGTTTGAGGACAGCATATTCTCGGTTTTGTTCAGTCTCAGTAATTTTGTTGCTTGGTTTCATGATTAGCAAAGGTTGATGAAAGTTCCCAAGAAGCTGATAGAATTCACCAATGATTTGTATTACAAGAAATTCAACCTACAACTTTCCATTAATTATAAGTAAGTAAAAAAAAAAAATGGCTTTCTTCCTCACTGATAAAAATGATGTATGAACTTAAACATGATCTACTTGTAAGCATCGGCTATCCATAAGAGTGAATGCCAACAGAAAATTCAGAATAGTAATGTGGTGCTATTTATCTCACGCCAGTTGTTCTCAAGGAAGAAAGGAATGGGACCTCACAAGCTTCTAAAGTGTCATCCACTGATGGCATCTTTGCTAATCACAAATTGATCTTTATATTTGGAAGTGATCGACAGGACCACAATTTTCAACACTCCAATGGTCCCTCAGTCTTGTGGATTGAGATGCCAGTGCGTGCATTCATGGAATGAGGTAAGAATTTGATGTACAAGGGGGTCATACCGAAGATGCATAGGAACTGCATCTTGGCAAGGACGACTTGCGAGAAGTAGCAACCGAGAAATGGCAAATGGGTGAGGATGTAAAGGAATTTTAGGAGGGTGGGGACTCCAAGAGCACATAAACTATGAACATCAAGGTGGGAATGTCTTGTTTATTTTTCCTGATCCAGACTTCCCTTGTGACATTTTCCAAGTGTTCTTGGATGCATTGTGTGCATGTATCTCATTAAATTTCTTATTGTGGGCCACCTTCCACATCTGAGAATAGTACCGGTGCCATTGGTACACAGTCACAGGCAATCAAAGAAGCTCTCCATCTGCAACTGGTGTGTGTCCCTGTAACACCATTGGTAATGTAAAGCTGGTGGCAACAGCACTCTCTGTAATGTCCAGTTCATTGTTTTTTCACACGAACTACGAGAATTTCCACTTGTCTCTACTGGATGGAGATAGATGTAAGAGATCAGTAAGTTTATCGATCGAATGCTTCCATCTGATCCATATTCCCATATTCAGAACACTGATAAGAAGCTCTAGTCTTCCGGTGGTTAATCACATATGTAAGCTCATTCATCTAAGGCTCTCCCGCATGGTTGCTGAGCTCTGAGACTTCCAGTCCTCATATCGTTGATCAAGATCTAGCTGATTCAAGGGAATGATCACAAACTTGGATTCACAAAAAGGAAAATCCTACCATTTCCTCGCACAATAAGCACTGGCTTTATACTAGTGGGCCTTTATATGATGGAGTCTAAACATGATATGAAAAAGGAATTCGTGACGAGAGAAAGTCGACAAACACTTTATTGCTTTGAAGACCGATGATGTCAGTAGTCACCATGCCTCCTTTTGGATTCTTCAACGATCTAATGACAAGCTTTGCTGGGCTGGAAGAAGAGTAAAACATATGCAGAACTGCCTTCATGGTTTATCAGATGCTTTTACTGAAAATTATGTTTTTAGTACACAGCCACCGGCCATTATGGTGCTGAAGATATTTTGAGCTGGGCATGTGAGACAGCTGCAGTGATAACAGTGGCAATCACACTATCGGCACTTTCAACTTCCACTTGCACTACTACAAAAACCAACCTTAATCATCTGAGATGAACTCTCGAGTAATTTTGGTTACTAGTCCTATGATCCAAAGTGACATTTTGACCGCTGCATCAGAATCTAATGAAGTGAAGGCTCCAAGAAAGAACACCTACTCGATCTGATTTAATTCATTCAATACTTGTCTCTGCAACTTGTGATCATGCAATCAGGAAATTTGGACTAAAGAGCAGAATTCATTCAATTCTGTTGTTGGAAAACATCTGACTTTTTTGTACTGAGATTAGGCTAATGCTTTAAGAAGAAGCTGAGATTAGCTGAAAAGATACGACTGTATGGTGGCCGATCACTGTCGATGCGACGCAACCTAAAGGCACCTTGTCAGATGTGGAGGTCCATGATAATGTAATCATGCAAGGGACATCATAATTAGATTACTATAGCTTCGGGGAAGAAGACACTGATGATAATTAAAACGAATCAATGTCATAGTGATGCTGTCAAAGCAATCTCATCCTGAGTTGTGCTGCTTCATCTTCTTTCCTCCCTGGTCACTTGGGAGGAGACAATTGAGTCTTCCACGATCCACCGTCAAAACTTTACGATCTGCACTGGAACCCCCTGTTCTTGATTTGTGATGTTAAATTCTTGGAAAGATCGAGTTCTTAATCGTCTCATGTTGTGGTGAGAATGTTGGACATGTGGCAAACAGCAATTCAACCTTTCGCATGTCCGAGAAGCCACAAGAAACGCTTGGTTCCCTCGCCCTCCGCAACTCCTGGTGCTTCTCCTCAGGAACATGCGCTCCTAAAAGATCTTCGATGGTGTCTCCAATCTCGAAGTTAATGCCATGCATACGATCGAGGACTACAGTAGATATTTGAATCATGGTTTTGGACAAGGATTTTATTGATCCTTGCGTGCTTGCCATCTGGCTCACAGGACGTCCAACTCCGATCGCCGTCGTCGCCTTTTCGTCTTCTTAAATGCGAGGTTTGTCGTAAGTGGCAGCGAACGAGAGGGAGACGTGCCAAATGTTGCGTCTTCGTATTCTTTGTTGTCGCTGTGAATCCCCACTTTTCTTGCTTCGGAGAAGAAGAAGAAGAAGAAGAAGAAGAAGAATTCATGTCAATTTCTTGTT